CTAACTCTTTTCATGGCCAGAGCCAGCAGCCATTATGGAGAACGTAACTCATGAACATGGCTGACCTGAAAACACTGTGAGGACGTAGTTAAAATGTACCTGGTTACCAGGTTTCACAAGGCGTAGAGCTGCTTCTGCACACAGATGAGCTGCTTTGACTACATCAGCTTTCCGACCTGTGATGGGATTCTCCTGCAGAAATAAAATACAGTGAGAAGAGGACTTAAAGACCTGAAGGAGGGGACACAAACCAGTGATTTTTAGGAAAAAGCCCTCACCTTACTGGCTCCCACAACAAAGCTGTGAGCAACATTGGCAATGAAGCCATCAACATGAACCCCTAGATCTCTGCACAAAATAAGAAGACAAGAGAGAAGAGTATGAAATAACAATAAAACAAAGTAAATTGATTATGTCTCAAATTCATTTCAAGTTTAACTGCTGCCCAGCTGTCAACATTACGGATATTGATGCAGGAATCAATCAAATTAACTTTGGGAGGGCAAAATGTCAGTTTCACTTTGGGAAATGGCACTAAACAATAAGAGAAGGTCAGACAAAAATAAAACTGCTTAATCTGCTATGGCCATTAAATGGAAGATATATCCCAAGGTGATTTTTTTTTTTTTGGCAGTACATCAGCTGGAATACAGTGAAGGACTTATTGTGAATTCAAGGCATTGGCATTACAGACTAATAAATTGAACAGACATGCCCAGCCAGAAGGTTAGGGGTGTGTGTAAAGTGAGAGACAATTCAAACCTAGCATGTGATACCAAGTCACCATGAGCTCTAATGAACATTGGTAAAAACACAGAAAATCTACACATAGCACAAAGGACATTACAGAGGACAAAGACACTAGTGGCAATACAACAACTAAGATGACTATGTTTCCTTTTTGACAACATTGCATTAGAAAAATGTGATATATAGGATTTAGCTGTTGGATGGACACTTGAGCTAAAATCCAACATATCACTTCAAAAGCTGTACAAAAACCCTGTTCTGAAAAAAACCTTACTTGTCGTTTGCCACACAGGACAAGACAGAAAGACAAGACCGTACTGATGAAGCAGACAATCAACAGCAAAGAGAAAGCCCCCACAAACAAGCTGAAATGTCACATAGAAAGAAGGGAGGACCACACACTGGGAGACTCAAGACACAGAGGGAAAGGAGGGGGTAACATCACTGCAGAGCGTGGTGCCTACATTTTGACCAGATCCCCATCTTTAAGTGTGTAGTCAGGGTCACTCTTCAGGGGAGAGAAGTGGCAAACACAGTTATTGACTGAGACGCTGGTAGGAAAGGCAATGCCTAGAAGAGGGAGAAGAGAACCACCAAGTCTTCATTTGGAAATCATCCACAAATTTAGCAAGAAAACTATTTTAAAAAATGGTGGAAGTGACACTTGGATCACCTAATAAACTTGTACTGTCATACTCTGCCACCATGTGAGTTGTTTTGAAAACCCCTGCTGCTATTCACGCTAAACGAGGCTGTGTGAAATGACACACAAACAGTTTGTATGACTGCATCTACGCTTCTTGATGGGTCCAACTCAGCTCATCCAAAAACAACAGGTACACACTTGTACCATCTTTGCCTCACCTTTCTTCATTTCTTTTTCCTTCTTGAAGACCTTGCCAGTCTCAGCCATGATATAGGCGTCACCTTTCTCACAGAGGCTGAGCACAGATACCCCGGGCTTGGCTGTTTCCACCACCAGACGAAGGGCCTCTGGATAGGACAAATGGTATGTGGTTAAGAGGAGGGTGAGGGAGCGTAAACCAACAGAAAACTCAAGCAGGTAGAAAAGGTCGCTAAATATTTACACCATGTTGTGATTAGGACAGATATTGTAGGAGATTATTTCTCAAAACAATGCATCATATTTGGATTGCAAGCAACACCTCTGCAGCCCCACAAAAAAATTACTTAATTTCACATTTCTAATCAATCCCCTTCTTCTAAACTGAACCACCTTCCCTAAACCTGGTCTTCCAGAGGTTTTGTCCTTGTTAAAGGACCAACTACTGCCAAGTGCTGGCTCAAATGGAATATTTGGATTTGATGTTTTTTTTTCTATACTTTGTATGTTCTTTACCTTACTTTGTGAAGTGCATTGAGATGACGTTCATTAAGAATTGTGCTGTATAATTAAACCAGATTCAATTCAATTTCAGAGACCGTTTCTATTAAAACATACTAGAATACTGGTTGTTCTGGGGTTGGGGATTAACAGTACATAGTGATACAATATATAACTGTCTGACATCCTGCCATCCTAACTGAAATTAGGCAGCCAGTGTACCCCTTTAATATCTCTAGATTTATTAGTTTCAGATCACCTCAGGCAGTGAGCCAAATTTAAGATGCAGGGCTGATTTATTACAAAACTAAACTGTATATAATTAGCACATTAATGTGACAAAGTACTTTTATTTATTCCTTAATCTACTTGCTAAGCCAAGAACACAAATTAATGTTTGGCTGTATTATCAATAAAGGGTTTCTAAATGGATTTTACATGTATGAAATGACTACAAATGTCTCATAATTACAGACATGGAGGTCTAAACCTATAAATCATAATTTCAATTTCAGTCTGACATCAGAAGCTAAATATTATCAATATAATGCAATTTTAACAAGTAATGTAGTAATTTCAACAAGTAATGAAGTAATGTCAAGCTATTCAACAGCAGCAGATACATGACATGAATATCGTCAGAGTTACGTACAAACTGTGAACTCGTTCTGTCAGTAACGTTAACATAAATATTAGCATGTCAATTATCTGTCAACTACACTAATAACAATTGAAAATTAAAGAGAAACTAGCAGAAAAAGTTCCGTCTGCCTTCATGTCCGTGGCTACCTCTTTATCTCTCGACTCGTTGACGTTTGCTTCACATTTAGCTGACTACATGGCAGTAGGCTGAGCTAGCTGGCTAGTTAGCATCCCACGTTAGTTAGACAGCTACCTCCAGCTAACCTAATGTCAAGTAGCTGTAAAACAGAGGCTAACATTAGCTCAGTTAGTCAGTTAAACCTGAAGCAGTTGCTCCTGCTAGCTGCCCGGTTACTGCATATGTGAGCCTCAAACGGAAACCACATGGCTGCTGCTGCTGCTGTTGGGAGACTAACGGTTAGCTCGACAGGCCGAAAGCAGCAGCTCGACCCATCCAGTCACCAGCTGCTGCTCGTTCACTTACGGTTCGCTATGTCGCCACCCATCTTGTACTTGGTGACCACCAGGTCCTCGGCTATGGTCTGCTCCTGCTCGTCGTCGGACATGATGGCAGTGAAGTTTGAGTCGCTCGTCAGCCCTAGACAGCGACTGTTATCCCCGCAGCTCGGCTCGGCTGTGACCGCTGTTGCTACTGCTATCAGGGGCCTGCTGCTGCCTTTAGGCTCCTCCCACTTCACCGTGACGCAACGTGTGTCACAGCGACCCCAGCGCGCCAAAACACAGCGACCCTCTGACATGATGACTGCATGTGGTAGACCTACATGGACTGAAGAGAACCACAGTGCCAGCGTTACAGGTGCAAGAAATCCAACAAGAAGTAAGGACACAGTTTTTACTGGATTACTGGTCTTTTTTAGTCAAGCCATGCAAATGTGCCACTGAAAGCAGATTGTGGCTAGATAGATAGATAGATAGATAGATAGATAGATAGATACATACATACATAGATAGATAGATAGATAGATGGATAGATAGATAGATAGAAAATTATTTATGCTCTTGGGGAAATTCAAGGTATCCAGGAGCTCACATATGTTACACACAAGACAGAAAAAGGAAATTGTGCTAGTCAAAGAAATGCCAATAAGGTGCCTAAAATGCCGGTATTTACAGAAATGTGCAAAAAAATTGTCAGTATTTACAATAAGGTGCAATTTAGGGGTATAATAATAACATCAATAAAATAGAATATTAGCAAATTGGTGGTATTTACAATAAAATACAGTTTTAAAGAGAAGAAAGAGGAATGAAGGATGTGAGGAAGAATGGAGGTGAAAGGATGTAGGGAGGACAGGGATGGAAGGAAAAATGGAGAAGGAAGAGGGAAAGATGGAAGGCAAGATGAAAGGAGGAGGAAGTAAGGATGTCAAAAAGGATAGAGGAGGAAGGAAAACATGGAGAAGAAAGGAGGGATGTTGGAAGAGGAGGAAGGTAGGAGGAATGGAAGGAAGGAAGCAAAGGTGTAAGGAAGGATGGAGGAGTGTAGGACGAGGAAAGAAGGAAGGGAGTTCTTTCTTTCTTTCAGCTGTATGGCTTGGCTATAGTACAGTTAAATTGTAAGTGGGAAAAAATCCTTTGTTTTGATATGTAGTCATTAAACAGGTTTCATGTGGATATAATATGACACTGGTCCTCCTTTGTATTGTATTGTACTATAAACATACTGTCAGTGATCGCTTTGTTTGGAACAGATGTGATCTAAAACAATCTATACAACTTTTTAGCCACAAAGTCTACAGTAAAGACAATCTTTTTGCCAAAAGAATACTTTATGATGCAAGGGCAAATTTTTAGCTTGCAGTGTATATAGCCTTTCCAACACAACGTTTGTGATTTTTTTTCTTTCTTTTAAAGTACTGGCCAGAATAAAAGTGGAGGTGGTCATTTTGTAGGAGACAAGACAATTATGTGTTCAGATATTGCTTTTGAATGAGATGTTTGTAGTTCTTATTTTTTATATTATTAAGCTAGAAAGTGTTTTCAAACTGCTGTATTTATAATCTTCTAGAGTTAATCAGCACTAAAAGTTCAGTTTAGCCTGTGGGAGACTGTGGAGGCTCCCGTAACATGATTTGCTGCAATGAAGGAAATATATTTATGACAAGCAGAGAGAATGAAGACAATTGTCTGGCACAGACATTGAGTTACAAAAAAAAGTCTCTTAGAAACCTAAAAAAAAATTCTGCAGGTTGCACATGTTATCTTCATGTACCCGCAAGTTAAAATAAAAAGGTGCTCCCAATTGGTAATCAAAATATTTTTATTAAGTAGAAAATGTATCATATGGCATCAGGAAAAGAGGTTTCAAAACATACAGTTATAAATGTTCAAGAAAGGCAATTGTTCTCAAAAAAACAGTTTTGTTCATCAAAATGTAAACAGAAGAATATAGCTTGTAATCTGTTCTCGTAGTGTTTTCAACACTCAGTGCTATTGATAATGGAAATGCCCCCACAGGCCTAAAAAGCGTACATAATGTCAGCCTGCGAGAAACGACAAAGGTGCAAACAAGTCACACATGTTGGGTTTTTAAAATTATGTCACAGGCTGCATTATGATCGTGACTTTTGATTGCATTTCTTATTTCAGGTCCTTCATGACTTTGTCTCAGAGGGAAGCTCGTGAGAAAATAAATGTTCTTCATGTAGGCACTGCTTCGGGCTTCAGGAACATCCTGCTGTGCCAGTAGCCTGGGTTGTCAAAAGATCTGTCACTGGTAGCGGGTTCTCCCACGCCGACTCCAGCTCGCACTTTCACATGGGGGTCAAACCCGGACTGATGTGCCTCGCTGCCCCCCGCTGCTCCCTCCGGCTGCCGCTGCAGGTTCTGGTACACTGCAGCATCTGCAGGTGGCGGGGCAGCAAAGTAGTCCATGTCCTCATATTCATACGCCTCGTCCTCGTCTCTCTCCTGCATCTTCGGTTCCTTGCCATCTCGTAGAGCTTGTCGCAGCTTCGGCTGTCTGTTTGTGTAGTGATAGTTACTGTCCTCTACATACTCCTCGTCCTCTTCGTCCTCTTCCCCTCTCATCCTCCCTGATGCCGGAGGAGGTGGAGAGGGCTCGTGGGCTGGAGGGCCTTCTTTTTCATTGCCTCTGATGTCCATGTATTCATATTGAACTTCATTGGATCTCTGCTGCTCTGAGTCAGAGTTGTCTTTGCTCCTTGTGTGCGCTCCCCTCACCTCCACGGACAGCATGGTGTCACATGAGCACGCGGTTGCTTGCGACGATACAGAGGAGGTTCGTTTCTTCTTTGGCTTCGCCCAGTGGTTGCTGTGCCTGAGTGAGACAGGTGTTACACAAACCTGCTTGTTCATGTACTCGTATTCTTCATCGTCTGGGTCATCCAAGAGGCCTGATGAGTGGGACTTGCCCATCCTGCCAGAAGTGGCTCGAGATGAGTAAAGCAGAGTCTCTGAAACACAAAAAGAAAAATAGATTCTTTGTGTGTTACCCAATAATAACCTGATAATTTTTTTTGAACCATTGACTGTGTAGGCACTTTTTACATCCTCCATTACACCTGATATTTTTTAGGGGAGTGGTTACTTTTCTCGTCAACAGAACAGTTAGTTTTACTTCTTGAAAAACATTTTTGTTTAAAATAATTTCTTTGTTCTTTTTCCTTCCTTTCTTTAACAGTAAAGACATAATATTATCAGAAGGTGAAACCTCACTTACACAATCTAGCACAGGATTATAAAAGGACAGATGGCATTAGACAAAACATGTTTATTTTGCCTTCTTGCCGAAAATTAGTTGAGACGATTGATACCACTTCCACTATCTGTAAACAAAAGTTAAGCAACTGCCAGCAGCGGCTTTGCTTGGCACAAACATCGGAAATGAGGAGAAAAATCTAGCCAGGTTCTGTCCAAAAATAACAAACCAAGAAACATCTCTGAATCCTACGAACCTCAAGCAATTTCTGGATGTTTTTTGCACCTATCACATTTTTACTCACTTTGCGCTGTTTTTTTTGTGCAGTATAAAGACCTGCACATCTGCGGAAACAGCGTAACCATGGCCAGAAGTAGAGAGAATTCAAATATGTGCAATATTATATAGTGAAAATGCCATAAATCGTAAAAAATAAGAAAAAAAAAAATTCAATTTCTTTGATTCATTATTTTACCAAAATTGGGAAAACATGGAATCAACATGTACAACATTTTCCCAAGTGGCCACAGGTGTTACCAATATTGGAATAAAAATGGTGACTCTACATACTAGAGCTATTTTGCTACTTACATTTTAATTTTGCTCCTTTATATTTCTCCTCTCTGCTCTGTGTAAACACTGACTGCAGTTCAGCCGAAACGTCTTTTGTCATGTGACTGTTCATCACAGCTAAGTCACTAGTAGGCCTGGTTTGTGCAAATGGTATATTTTTGGCAAAGTTTTAAATACTGACCATTTCCTAGTCTGAAGAACCTCACAGAGACCGCATAGCGATAAGACCCCTAGAAGTTGCTGCTCATTGCAAGAAATAGTTGCCATATAACATCCCGTCATACCGTGTCAGTTTTTTACTTTTGTCTGTGAAACAATTTAACACACAAGATATAATGTGTTGTGGGGAGATATAGAGATTCTAGTAAGGAGGTCCTAGCTGTTTCCGTCTGTTGCCAGTCTTTGCGCTAACCTAACTTTTTCCAGATATGACAGCGATTATCAGTCTTAGATCAGCCTTGTCCTTTAAGCAAGAGAATAACCAGATACTATAAATGTAACATGGTACCAAACAAAATATTATATCTGATGTCATACTTAGAATGGTCCCAAAATAATATATTACATAGGAGTTACAAAGAAAAACTGTAACAAAACTGATGGTTTTGCACTGATTAGATAAAATGTCGGCTCTGACCCAGCAGAACTATCCACGTCCTCTAGATCTATCACCTAATTTCCTAGAACAATTGTCTGTGCCATATACATTTACAGTTAATGTATCACCTCTCTCTGGAGTGCCTCCAGGAAGCACATATCCATTCTGATCCTCTTCCTCCATCTCTGGTGAGGGAGTGTCCGATTGACCGCCGGACATGCTGTCCCTCTGAGACACGTAGGCGCTGTCCTCGCGCTGACGTCTCCTCTTCAGGCTCCCAGCCAGAGAGAAGTCCTCACTCATGTCCAGCTCCACTGCTGTACCACAGCCCTCTGAGCTCTCAGACAGAGTGCGGGCAGAGTTTAGTCGAGAACGTGACTGCCACGAGGCCTTCACAAGACAACACAAACAGTACTGCATTAGTAAATTAGGAAGCAGCAGTAGAAGGATGTTGCTGATGTCTTGCATTTTTTGAATTGGCTTGAAAACAATACAAAACATTTTATATGCAAAGTGCCTTAACACCACAGAAGCCCGTTTTAGCTACCTGTCCTTGGTTGTCCACACCTGGAGTCATTGGCAGGTATCCAGCCATGTTTGTCGAATTCAGAGCCACCTTTACAAGAAAAGACAGGAGTGAGATTTAGATAGAGGAGGTGACAGAAACTACCTTTTTGCTCCCCTGCCACAAGGGGGGGGGCACTAACGACTCACATAGCGAGGGGGAGGATTAACAAACCTCAATTGAAACCGAAACTCAGGTGTTCATGGCTCCTTAGGTTATAAGTATCTGGAGCTCCCAACTAGTCAGTCAGAACTGATGAAGCCTCTTGTATGAGAGGTGAAACATCTTCAACGAACTCAAGCAAGTCCAGTTGATATGATTAATCTACCAGAAAAAAGTGGTGTCTCCTACTCTGTGAGTGTCCATCCTGGAGAGGCGACTGAGACTCCTGGACAGGTACTGGGGGGCTGGAGTCACGCCATCCACCACCCCTTCTGCCCCCGGGTCCTCCAGCTCAATGTCCAGATCATCCAGGTCATCCAGGTCTGCACTCCGCTGGACAGGTTCATCTGGACCTGCGTCCTGTTGGCCACAGTCCTGCTGGCAGACCAAGGTAAAAGACAAATTAGCATCTTACATGTACGCTTTTACTACATAATACGCAGAAGCATCCGCAACAAAAATAACTGTGTAACAGAGGCTACTAATAGAGCAGGGCCTGTCTTACTTTGATCACAAGGTAGCGAAGTGGATCTCTGGCCATTCTGGTAAATTCACTGGCTAGCTCCTTGAATGTTGGACGGACATTCTCATCGATCATCCAGCCTGGGTAATGAAGAAAACGGTCATCGTGGTTTGAACTAATAAACAAATATTCACGGCAGCCCATTCAAAATCAGCTGATTTTTCTCACTGACTTCATTCATCTTCTTTTTTTTTTTTTAGTTATATTTTTGCCATTTTTGCCTTTATTTGAAAGTGCAGTTAGAGAGAGACAGGACAGTGGGGGAGAAGAATGGGGGAAGGACCTGCAGAAAAGGGCCATGAGCAGGATTCAAACTCATGACCTCTGCGTCAGGGACTATAGCCCCTGTACATGGGTCGCCAGCTCAACCAGGTAAGCTATAGCAGCACACGGCTTCATTCATCTTCTGAGTATCATGGATATTTGCACAAAAGTTGTACAGTTATTTCAGTGTGGACCAAAGTGGTGGTCCAACCAACCAACCAGCATTGCTATTCCTAGAAACAAGCCTGACAAGAATATATGTGAACCTCTGCTTGCAGATAAAAAAAAAAGATTGTCAGCAGAGAGGTACTCACATTTAACCATGACCATGTAGACGTCAATGGTGCAAATCTGTGGCTGGGACAGACGCTCGCCCTTTTCCAGCAGGTCAGGAATCTCCGGTGAACGCATTGTTGCATACGGCTCGGCCCCATAAGACATCATCTCCCATATGGTCACACCTACAAGAAGGTGAGGGATTTAGTGTGGCCTGAAACTGAAATTCTGGTACATCTAACACATCCACACCAACATTTTAGGTTTGTATAAACAATCTGACCCTTGTAAAGATGCTTTAGAACTCACCATAACTCCAGACATCGCTCTGATATGTGTATCTGCGAAACAAGATGCTCTCCAAGGCCATCCACTTGATTGGATTCTATGAACATGACCAGAAAATGTCTTTATTCGTTGCTTGAGTTAAAACACCAGAATAAATGATTAGTGAATGTAAGAAAATTGGAAGAATGTTTCCCAGAATATAAAATAGATGTTTGTCAGACTCTTTGTTAATAAACTTTGATCATTTTGGTGAACAGACCTTGACCTCATTGTAGAAGTACTTCTTGTCATCAGGGTAGAGCAGGTCTGCAATACCGTAGTCTGAAATCTGGGCGGTGAAATTATTATTCAGGAACACATTTCTGGCAGCCAGGTTCCTGTGGACAATCCTGTTCTCCTCCAGGTAATTCATACCCTGACAGGAAAGGAGAACGCTGTGGTAAAGTGCTTGCACTATCAATTTTGTCCACACACGCAACAAAATGTTGAACCTGTTGCTCCTTTACCTTTGCGATCTGAACACACCAGTTGAGCAGCCTCTGCGGGCCGAGCTTGTTCTTGTACTTCCTGACGTGCTCCAGCAAGGAGCCCTGATTGTAGAGCTGAGTGACGAGCTGCAGGGTGTCACCAGGACAGATACCCTGGGTCCTGACGACGTTAATGTGGTTCAGACTTCCCATTGACATCATGTGCTGCAGCAGCCATTGAGAGTAAATCATTAGGGATTTCAGAGCATTCCACAAAACTGCATAATCTATGTTTTGGGTTGGAAGTTTAATTCTACAAGCTGATAGTCATAGAAATATACATATTTTAGGCAGACTTTTCCTTCAAGAGATATTTTCTTACATCTGTCAGCTCACAGAAGGTCTGTCGACCACTGCGATCATGAATAGTCCTTATGGCCACAGGAAGTTTCACTGTATCTCCTTCAGGAATCCAGTAGCCCTGTAAAGTACAGAGAGCGGAGAGACACATTCATATGTTGAATAAAAATCAATGTGTAAGAGGAGCATTGTATAAGAGGCCGTCACTACATCAAGTACCTTATATACGGATCCAAACACTCCATTGCCCAGCAGCTTGATGTTACGCAGCTCTGAGGGTTTCAGGATCCGAGCATGAACTTTCGCCCCTTTCTCTTCCAGAGGCTCAAAACCCTGCAAGTGCACAAAGTAGATGTCAAAATGAACACAAATGAAGCACAACAGCACAGTGAAAACCTAAACTTTAGATTCTGACTGACCGCTCCACTCTCCATGTATCTCCTCATGGCTCGCTTGCGACGGATGGCGAGACCTCGGCGGTACAGAACAGTCAGCACGAAAATAGAGAATGATGCGAAGATGAGGGCGATCACTCCCAGAACGATGGCTGTGGTCGCTTGTCTGTCGACAGGGATGGACAGGGTGTCACAGCCTTAGCACTTGATGCTAAATCAAAAAATTACATGAATTATGTTAGAATGAGAGGAGAAACTCACCCAGAAATGTATCGTGCAGAGTCCATACAGTCCCTGATTCCTGGACCGGAGCACCTGAATGCAAAATACATAAGATGTCAATTTAAAGAAGAAGCACATACATACGTGTGTGCGTCGCCTCAGATTTCTACTCATTCGTTACCCTTTCGTGCAGTTGACATGGCACGATTCACAGCGGCCCTGCTTGTTGGGGTATTTGAAGATGACTCCCTCCCCTCCCATCACACCGTCAGGACACGAGGACACACAGTGTGGACCGTCCTGCAGGCTGGCACATGCTACACACTGCTCCGCTCCCTGGAAACAATACCCAACACTTTACCAAACAGGCATTTGCACAGAGAAATAAATGCTTCCAAGTCATGGCAGTAGTCATGCCTATTAGAATGCCACTAGATGGCAGCAGAAGTTATTCCAAACGTCTTGAACCAGGTGTGAGTTTGAGATAGTCATACCGGGCCTGTGCAGGTCTGCTTCCCTTCCTGGACTTTACACTCAGGATCACAGGGCATACACTCCCCTGATCGAGTAGCAAACTCCCTTTTCTCCCTGCAGATAACATTGAAACCCTTAGCACAGCCACACCACAGCCAACATTACTCACATTAAGGCAAACAGGTTTAATATTAGGAATTATCTTGTGAAGACTAACCCGGTTAAGAACATGCAGTCTGGCACACATGTTCCTCCCCTGCTGTATTTCCTACAGGAGACACACTGGTTTGGTCCAGGACCCCAGCAGCCATCAGAGGAGCACAAGGGGTCGCACACGTGGCCTTCATTCACTGCAAAACACAACATTAGTGAATACACCGATGCAACATCAACACTGAATAGCTTTAAGATGCTTCGCTGTCACTCACCGCACTCAGTTAAAGGTCGGTTCTCCTTGACGTCGATGTGCTTCTGGCGTCTCTGCGGACGGGAGCTGCTGCTTAGGATTCGTGTCCAGTTGACAGTGTCATAGTAGCAGAGCTTCTTGTTTCCCGTGACGTAGACGCCGCCATCATTTATTTTTCGCAGCGAACGCAGTCCAAGAGAGGTCAGAGATTTGATCCTCATCACTAGAAGAGAGTAGCCCCTGGAAGAGCAGGAAGAGGATGGATTTTAGGACATGCAAGAAATCAGAAGTTGACAATATTGGAGTCTTGTTTAAAATACTATGGAAGTAAATGAAAATTTTGAAGGCAACTTAATATTTTACATTGAAAACCATATTTCTGAAATTAGGTGCATTGAATTCCTTAGATTTACTATTTTTTCACACAGTAATGTCTGTTTTGCTATTTAAAATTCAAGCTTCTCTTAGATCACATCAATGAAAAACATAGATGAACTTTCTTGCTTTTTCTTGGTAAGGTGAGTGTTTAGATTTGAGGTCAGATGTCTCAATTTCACCAGCTGCAATTAGAGAAACTAGATTGTTTTTGTAAAAAAAATGACTTTACTTAAGTTCACCTGATCCTTAAAAATAGTCCTTCTAATAAGTGTTTTCCAAATTGGACAACCAGTAGCTACGGTACTCAAATTTCAAAGTGAAATAAGAACCAAATAAATGAATGTAAATGGTTTTCAGTGTAATTTTGTAGTAGTTAAATTCCAACATTAAGTAAGTGATCAGTAGTGATTACAGTTCAAGATGAAACCCCTCATTGCCTTCCTTTGATTCCACAAAACACAACCAGAACCTCAGATTCCAAAAACGTCCACCCAAACACCCAGCAATTTCAATTTTGATTCAAACAGCATGCAAGAATATTACGTAAACTTATTGTTCCCACCACCAGCATAATCCCACCACTGAATCAGCTGTGCAAGAATAACTGAAGACAGTATTTTAATCTCAATAATTGCAAGACGAGACAAACGTTCAAAACGGTTACTGTACCTTCTAGAGCTCACTCCTCTAAACATCGTAAAAATGACATGTAACAAGGAAATAAAGATACAAAACACAAACAGAAAATCAGATTCATGTTGGTGACGGTTTACTTCGTTTAGGATACAACAATATGATAGTGAAAAGAAGGAAATAAAACTGCTACTTACTTGAAAAATGTTCTGCCTTGAATTGTTTGGAGGTTGGAGAAGACTGACAGGTCCGACATGCTTTCAGGCCACGACTGGATACTGAGGTAGTCTGAAAGCGGAAATATTGCGTTTCAGAGACTGCAAACACCAAACATCAAACATCAAAAACAAAAGTAGTCAGTTTAAATATCTTCTCACCTGTAATTTCTCGCACAGTGTTGAAGATTTTCAGTTTTTCTGGGTCAAGGGGTGGTATGCCGTTGTAATCATCACTTTAAGCAAAAATAAAAAAGGCAAATACTTAGAGACCCACTAAAGACAGTAACATGTCTGCTGCATTTTATGAGAACTAATGGTGACGATTGAAAGGAAGAGTTTTATTTACCCTTTTATTCCGGTTACAAGGAAGTGAAGACTGCCCTGGATCTTCGTGCAGTTTATGAAACTGTCTATGTTATTAGCATCAACTGTTTGTCTGGTTGGACTTCCTGTGCCATGGCAAGCTGGGAAGGATGATGAAGAGTAGAATGAAAGGGTTATGAAAATTAATCCTTCTTTGGCCTTTGATTAATTGACTAAACCCCTAAATCTCATATCTGTGCATCAAAGTTACATATTTTGATTTTTTCCCATTAAAAATAATCCCTTTCTATGTCCCGCTGCCTCCTCTAGAACGTGCGGCTCTATAAACCCCTGCCTCTATTGACATCCACCCCTCTGCCACCCACTCTAGCCCAAGCACACCAGCTCACCTACAACTCAAACACTGTAAAGCTACTCTATGCTGCACAATGACAAGCCGTAATATTGGTCAGCAATACATATTTGAACCAGAAACTGATTCCGAAAAAGAATAATAATACAGAAAGTCTCGAGCTGCAAGTAGACAAGATTGGTTCCTTAAGCTTGTTCCTTATGAAACCCTAAAAGTCTGAAGCTTTTGAAGCTTTTGAGACTGTCATCAGTACACTGCAGTTTCCAGGTCAAAAAATGCAGCAAGTCATGATGTGTCTTTAGGAAAATGGAAGGTTTGAACCAACCAGCTGTGGCGGAAAACACCTCAGGACATTCATAGCTTAATTGTGTCCAACTTTGTTTTATTACTCCATCTTATTGCATATTAAATATTGCATTTTTTTTTACTTCAATCCCACAGGTTGAGGTACTTTGCAGAATAATATATAACCCACAAATAAATCTGATTCCATTTCCAATTAACTGTCTAACATGTAATGCAGTTACTGTAAAACTAGCTCCGTTGCCATCAGCTAGACGTTATGGTGGTATTAGACAGAAAACTATTCCTTTTGATACTTAATTCATTTTAAATAGCACATCTGTGTCTTAATTAAGTACATTTTTGATTGAAAGGGTTGCAAAAGAGCAATTTCGCATTGTGTTTTCTCCTTTTCTTCCAGAAAAGTAATCTCCACTACCGCTGTTCTTGTTTCTCTGATGCAGAAAATAACTCTTGTGTAGTTATATTAAATACCTTTGGGACAGAGGCCTCCACAGGGCTCACATCTTTTAACTCCATTTTTCTCCACCTCCATTTTATGAGATGGGCAGCTGCTCACACATGAGCTACCGTCCACCACAAAGTTTGCTATTAAAAAGGCAAAAAATAAGGAAAATCACCACAATGTCAGTGATGGCATTTGTATAGCAGCTGGAGAGCAATCTTAAAAACTGCATTTGTATTAGAAGAGCAAGAAACTGTGAAGATAAGGGTGTAAGGCAGCATGTGTGGGGACTCACTGGGACACTGGGCCACACAAATAGAGCCGTACTGGTACTTGGCGTTGGGGTTGGGCTCCATTTTGAAGGCGTGTTTGTTGTAGATCAGAGTCTGGGGACACTGAGGGACGCAGGAGCCCGAGTTGTTGAAGTTCCTGCAGGCCTGTAATATGTCACATTGAGGAAAACAAAAGATAGATTTGATTTGTGTCTCATTTACCTGTGTCCCTGTGAATATTTTGTCTATTCACAATAGTTATTTTTATTTACTTTCATGATCTAAGTGTCACAGAAAGCTATCACAATAACACTAAAAATAAAGCAGCTATTTTCAGCCATAACTAATTCTAAATACAGTGTATACATTTAGTATCTGTTTGCATATTGTTGCTTTTGACTCACAAAGCAGTTTATGTCCAGGGGTCCTGTGCAGCCTCCAGCACATTCACTGTGGCAACAGTCGCTCGGGTTTCTACCAAAACATCGGCCGTTACACTGAGGGGCGCACACAGTCTTTGTCACTGAAACAGAGTGGAGGGCACGTTAATCCATACAGCAGCAGCTTAAAATCAACAATATACATTAAAACTGCAAATAAATATTGAACTTAAAACAAACAATATTTAAAAATTTCAATAAAATCTTGCAGCGCCCATCTGTAGGGCATCTTTAAGACTCCCCAGGGCAGCAACGGTATTAAAACTGAGCTGATCCATTAAAAATAAAGAAACTAAAGAATAATATTTTGATGTGACTTACAGATCTGGCAGGTGTCATTTCCTGGACCCCAACATGGCACGTCGCCACACGCTTTGTCACAAGGCACTGAGACAGAATTTTTTAGTCAGTAGGTGCATTTTTACAGTTTAAGTCTCAAGTTAAAGAACAAGTTCCCATTATTAAAACATCGGCACAAACCCTGAAAGAGTCACTGGTTGCTGTCGTCAGCCTTACTGTTTGTGAAGAGATCAGTGATTTCAGTGCAAGAGATGGAAAACAAAATCTAAAATGTCCTTATAAGTAATATAATACACACTCCAGACTTTGGATCAGTCAAGAGTGTGTATTTTATTACACAACCTATAAACCTCAGCTAACCCTAACCTACAATTTGTTTTTTCATCGTGAATGGAGCAATAAATACATTGCGAAAGACTGTCTCTAATGCAACAAATGAGAAAATTCATTTTATTGAAGTATTTTAATTAAACATTCAACCTATAAGGTGGAGCCCAGGATACATGGACCATGTATTCATACCACTTGGCCAATCAGATAAAGCTCCAACAACACTCAAATTAACTGATGTCAATTTGGTGGTGACTGTTGGTTAAATATGTATGATGACTGAGGAAGGGGAGAAAAGTGCTGAAAATGTCAAGAGATGATTTTGCTCAGTTTAGGAGAAAATACTTCAAAGGAAGCTGTCATAATCACAATGCTGAACAATGTTAATCCACATCCAAGATTTTCCTCAAATTGTGCAGGTGTACTTCAGAGTCAGTTAAACCATCTTCTGAAGTTACTTTCTTTTCTGTGCAACATTCTCTCTTTTTTAGCACACATTGTTTCCTCCACCTGCTCAACTGTGGCAGAAAAATAGTAACTTAAAAAGAAAGAAATCTGTCCTTAAAAACACTGTAATTTGGGAAAAATATCTAAGTCAGGCTCCAGTCTCACATTTACTTTTGCTGAACTTCAGAATGCATTTTTCAGGGATGCATGATATATCAGTGATCACATCGGTATCTGCCTATATTAGTATTTTTTTCCAAATATCGGTATCGATCCGATGACCAAATTTAGCCGATGTGAAAAACTGACAATTGTCTAACATTAGCGCCTTTGTCTCTACATGTGATATTGCTGCTATTTCACTGATGTTTTTATTTAAATGGTCCTGGACTTTAACGTTAAATATGTCAAAATATGTTTATATATGTTTGACTTTTACTACGCAATAAAGAAGACTATGTGGTCTGATTTGGTATGGGCTTCTTTTGAATAGTTTTCCCGTTCTCACAGTGCTTAGTTATACTCATTTATCAGTGTGAACAAAAACTGAATATCAGCATCGGTAATATCGATTATCAGTGAAATCAGAAATCTTAATATTGAATATCAGTATCGGCCAGAAATTTTATTATTGTGCATCACTAATTTTTATAAAGGACAAAAACAGTAGATTTTGTTCCATGTTTCTTTACTCTGAAATAGAATTTTCACAGCCAGCAGGCCTGGAATACCAATCACAGTGGTCGGTAGCACTTTTTAAAGTAGGCGTCTAAACCCATCCTTTAATGTAACCAGTGGTCATATGTGTAGTTATCAACCTCTGCACTCACTTTTAGGCCCGTTGCCTTCGATCATAATATCAGCTGTTTCATCCTTCACTATGTCCTGCCAGTTCACCTGCGGGGCGTAGCTCAGGTACTTGTTCTGGATGATCTTCACTCCTCCCTCCAGTATCTCTGCGAACGACACACATGCATTTAAATGGGGAGGGACAAATTAGTGCAGCAAGCCCCGACAGGCCCGTGACTCATTCCTATCCACCATTCGCTGTTTACTACACCACATACAAGGCGAGCATAATGTGCCGCAGCTCATGTTACACTGGCGGTTGAGCGAATGAGACATTCCAGCGACTCCACATCACTGCGAGCAGCTCACATCGCTGCCGACCGGTATTCTGCAGGTGTGGCCGCACTGTGTGGGCGTGGGAGCAGTAACAGAAGCGCCACATCCACTGTGAGTGGCTACCTGCTACCCGCTCTGGCCTCCCACACGTTAAACACACTCCAGGTGTGACTTCCCGCGTACCTGTAAGGTGTGTCAGGCCCAGCTCCTGGAGGCCGTACTGCCCTTCCTTCTGGTAGTTGACCATCACGGCCAAAGCGTACTGGTCCTCGTAGAGTGTGGTGCCTCGGATGACGCGCAGGTGGTCAAGCGGGAGGCGGCTGAACTCGTTGACGGCAAACAAGATGTAGCCTGTCACCTCCTTAATAGACTGTAAGGTTGAAAATTTCAATCAGAGTGTCATCAGGGTCACAACCTGGCAGCAGAGGTGTGTTTTTGCTTGTTGTATTAGTCACCATGACTGGAAGGGGACATACAGTAAATGAGCTCATTGTGCACTTGAAATAAATACATCATCCATTACAGACATGCAAACATGTTTTTGGCTCCCTGTGACTTTCAAAGAAGCCTCACATGCTGGATTGTTTCTGTCATCGAGTGAATGAGGTTGATTCATGTCCATGTCTAGACTGGCTAGCGTTTTGTCTCAGTGACACACATTCTGTGAAAGCAACACTGGTGAATTTGTGGACTTGTTACTGCAATGTTCTCAGCCTCACCTGCAGGAAGCTGAAGTCTCTGGTGTGGTCCATCATGGTGATCTCCAGGTTGCCAATCACGATGTCACAGCCGGTGTACATCTTCTTCATCAGGGTGTACTGGATCTCTGAATTTCCGGTCGTGCTCAGAACGTTCTGGGTGCCGGAGCAAACAACCACTGGAAATGTAAAAAAAATAGCAGGTTGTTGTTATTATCTTTAATGTCAGATTGTGTCCTCTGACTGAAAGAACGAATCTGGTGTTATTTTGTGGTTTTCTTATTGTTCGCTATTCCTAAGAATGAACTGATCATTCTCACAAAGTGTAGCCAAAGCTTGGCATTGCCTATATTTTCATTGCTGTCCAAAGGTGATGGGTTATGATATTTCTTCATTAAAGTGAATATGAACAGTGTAGTTACAGTTTTTGAGCATTCTACAGACATACTGAATGTGTATTAATCCCCCCCCCCAAAAAAAAAACAACAACAAAAAAAACAAAACAACAAAAAACAACAACAACATACTGTTCCCTCCTGTTTGAGTCATTTCTGCTAAAAAGTACAGTGCCCTGCTGTTTTAGAAAATGACTTTTGTTTTGGACCCACGTTTAAAGATTCATATCGCTGTTAGCAATATGTCGGCTTGGGGCTAAGGGTTGCATAAAAGCACAAAGTTGGAAAGTACCAACGAAACAGTTGTTCATTTAGGCCTTTACAAAGGATGGCTGTCAAGAAAAATATTATCGACTTTATTCTTTAACAAACATTCTTTTAGTTGCTGCATTTTAGGACAGTTTTACAGTTTTATGTAACACAAGGGAGTTATCAGTAACATATTATCGTGTATACATTGGGGATAAAGTAATACAGTCCCACAAAAGTTTAAAAGACAAACGTTCACTGATGGAAATGCGATTATAGCACAATACACACATACTAATAAATCATTAATGAGCCAACAGCACAGGTTTTTACAAAGACTGTTTTATGCTGTTTACTACAAGTGGCTCTGTTCGGATCGCCTAATATGAATAAATGTACTGTAACAGTGTGGAACAGGCTCAGGATTGTGTCCAGGGCATGTCCTCCTCTCCAACAAACATATGAAGCCTTGTTTATGGTCTGTGGGAGTTCAGCCATTCAGCGTCACTTGAAGGCTGCTTTGCTATTCAAATGTCAGACAGAAGAGAAACAGCAGAGAGAAAATGGAAGAACAGCAACGAGGACAGAGAGTTCAGCATGACTGTTGGCCTGAACGTCATCTAGAAATCAACACTTTGCACAAACATGTACTTATGCAGCACCGCTGTCCGCGTAGTTTTGGTCTGGAAGGGATTTTTATTGTTTGGGCTTCTGCTTTCAGTTAATTTTGAGGCAACAGTCTCCTCTGACTTCAGACACCTTTGGGTTGAACCGGAAACCCAACTTTGATTATCAATCAACATCAGTCCAGACTTTGTTTTTGTGACTTGATGTAAAGAAATCCTTGCAACCAGGTCTCAAAACCTACAAGATAAAGTGGAAATCAATGGTTTTAGATGATAAATAATCACTTATGCTTGAGGCATAATGCCTGGCATTTTCCTGCTAGTTGCACATTTAAAAACACATGCAACATTCTGAGCCCTAAAAAAAAGTAAAAGTTACAGTTTGAAACAGGGAAGCAGGTCACTGAAGAAAGAACTCTGACTTCACATGGTGCACATGATCTATTGTTCTGGTGAGCTAAACTGAAACTAGTTCAAGTTAACATTAATAATGACACACTTATTGTTCTTTGGCTCAGTTGTATTTGACTAAAATACTGCAACTACACTTCCAAGTAATGCTTTGGTTACCCTGGAGTCACCTTGTTAGCAGTGAGCTACAATTTACAGAAGTTAAAGCTCTTTTTAAGTAACATTTGTTTACAACGCGAGCCAAATTAGCAACTACGGTTTACAACATACCCACTGACATGCCAACATCGCTGGAGAATTCTGACACTGAAGAACCCTAAATATTGTCAAGCTAGAGTTCTAGGAAGCTTTTTTTTTTTTTTTTTTATGGCTAAAGGACATCAGAGATCAGATATCCTTCTAACACATGCTAAATTGTTGCCAGAAGTCTCATAGATCAATTTCTAAGAAAAAAAAAAACTGAATTAATAAATCAAAAATGATCAGCATGGCTAAATACCACTTGAGGCAATTCAGAGAATGTTCCTTTGTTATTTGGAGCATTCCCCCTTGTACCCCTTTAATCCCAAAACCTGCCGGAGGGTTTAAAATGATTTTCTTTGAAAATCTGCCAGAATTTACAGCATTTATCAGAACCACAAACAGTGGGGGGAATACAGGTAGAACTGTCACATTTTCAACTTCAACTCAGGAAAATGAACAAAATCTTAGCTCAAAGCCACCTCGGCCCACACATCTCTTTTAAAAAACAACTGCCAGAAATGAACCATTTGCACTAATCGGATTCTGTCAAAAAAAAATAAAAATTAAATAAATTCTGCACTCCTCAGTGCAACCAAGACATCATGACTGACTCAGCAGGGACAGGCATGTGACAACAAATCTGAAATCAACTGCCGGGTGTGTTTGCCCAGAGTAGATAGAAAACTAAACAAAAAATATAAGCAGTAAAAAATATTACAGTATGTAAAGTCACCAGATTTTTTCTGTCTTCAAGATGTGTGGCATTGCAGCTGCGTCATACTGCACAAAAGACATCTTTGAGTTCTTAGCCATGGTTGCGCTGCTTCCGTAGAAGAGGCAGAGATTTCAACTTTCAGTGAAAAATGAACCCACAGTGAGCTTAAAAAACTTAAGAGCAGGAGCAAAAAAAACACCAGAAAACTGTTTTGGATTCAGATGTTTAACCTTAGTCTGACGTTAATAATAAATTAATAAATCATTCACCACCAAATTGGTCAGCTGCTATTGTTTGATCAAAAAAAAGTCAGGTCAGTGTACTTTTGATTGCTGTTCAAGTCTATCTGAATGTGTCACACATGAACTATGCTCGACACACTCACAAACACATTCCATCGACTGACTTCTGAGTCAAAGTAGAGTTCAGCGAAACAACAGGATCAACAAGGGCATAAAAGACTAATGATTATTAACCTCACAGGTACACCAGGCAGGTCAAAGCACAGTGTGTGTGCATGTGTGTACCTCTTTACTCAGAAATCTGTTTATACAACCACACTGTGGGGAACTGTCTTCTTTTGGGGACAAAAAGTAATGCAAATTGTTAAACTTGGTATGAGGGTATTGTTCAGGATAAGAGGGTTCGAGTTGGAAAAGTTTTTCTTGTTACGTCTCCAGAAAATTCAAGTCAGTCTAAAGTCCTCTGAAGACATCAAAACATGTCTCAGTGTGTGTCTGTGTGAAGAATGTGTCCTCTGCTCATAAAGTGCTGATAAGAGTCATTTTATTGTGTTTCTGAGAACACAAGGTTCAAGGGAAGTGACTCTGGACCAACAATCTGAAGCAGTTTTTGCATTCAGATTAAAATAAAAACCACACACACATATTTTGACCTGTCCATGGTGTTCAGCCGTACAGATGTTTTGTTTATTTTGAAGATATTTTTAGATATCTTTCTCTGAAAGTCTCGTCACTGCCGCAGTACAACAGAGGTGATCGGAATTTGTTCATCCTGCTTTCCAGAACTACTGTCTTACTCATAATAGGGACATCTGTGAGCTGTCATGAACAGCCAGGACACTGGTTCCCTCAAGAAACATTGTTGTATATTCCTTTCAGTGTCATTTTTCTGTGTTTTGAGCAACACAAACACACCTCACCGCTCTTCTCATAGCAGTGAGTGCGCTCTCGTAAAACCTGAATACTCACCACAGTTTGTCTGCATGGATAGACACCAGCACAAGAGGCAGTTTAAACAATGGCTTCCTGATCGTGATTTGCGTGAACTGACCCTTTACGGGGAACTCCACTGATTTTACACAGAAAGATCAGATTTCACATTGCAGAGAGTCGTTCCCAGCTTGTGATAACAGTTGTATAATGTAGAGGAGAATAACCCTGATTATGTGAGCTGGGTTTTCTCAGCTTGAGGGGATGAAACAGTTCAACAGAAACCCCTTGTTTCACACTGAGGGAATGGAGTTCAAAAGACATGAGCGTCTGTGGAGCAGAAAGGATCTATTGGTGGAGTCGCACAATGTCAGCAGATTGGGAAGTACAGAAAATCCTCCAATTGTTGTATGATCAAAGTATTGCATATTTGCAGTTAACAAGTGAAAGTGGATAGAAGCAAACAGTGCATGGCTCCTTTTTGAATGATCTGAATCAGCTGTATTGGCGTTACAATTTATTTTATTATGCTGAAAATTCCTTTAATGGTTCTTTAGTTTAAGGCCAAGAAGGAACTACAGCAGCTGTAGTATCTCTGACGTGTAATTGCAGCTAAAGGCAGGTGATAGGAACAATTTTACATATAATTATGCTCTTTACATGATAAGCAAAGACTCTTGAATGAGTCGTATTACATCAAGTGTAGGATTTAGTGTCTTTGCAGCTTCACCTATGCAGAGACTGAAATGCTTTAAAAACAAATATTTTTGAAACAAATTTAATGCTACATCTTTTATTTATTTTTTTTAGTTAAGACAACTTTTAATGAAATTATGCTCAACCAATTAATTATATTAACTTCCATTTTTCCTCTACAAATAATGGTATTTTAAACTTCCAGTGACTTAATAGCTCGTAACATAAACACAAGTTTTCAAGGACCTGAAATCCTAAACTTAAGGTTGGAAAAAATGTAGGTATCAAGCCAATTTAATAAATGAATTTATTTATTTTATTTTATGAACTACAACTTGGGCTTTGCGTTAAATCAATTAATGCTAACATTTTATTTTAGCAGCCGAAAAGGTTTATCTAAATCAGTAAATTAAAAATTTAGATTCTGCCAACATGCTTTTAAGTAAGTGCAGTTTCTCAGTCTGTTTAGTTTTTGATTAAGAGACTATAAAGGAGAAAAAAAAGCATGATTCTACACAATTCTAATCATTTTTCTTCCTATCTGTAATATATTTTTCTACTTTTGCTCCTTCATGAGGCCTATGAAAATCACTCTTTGTTTGTGGTCACAATAGCTTGGCATATGGACGTGGGAGGCCGGCTTGTAGGCACATGATCTTCTCCCTTTCACAAATGTGAATGCCAACGTGAGCTATTTCTACATATTACATTCCACACTTTGCTCAGTGCCACGGTTCTGTTGTTATTAATGAGCTGATATTGTTTTCTCCAGCAGGTCTTTAGAAACGTTTCTTCATTACAGTCCACTCAGTTGAAATGATATCAGTTCAGGAGCTGCAAAAGAGTGAAGCTCTTTATCTGCCCCACCTCATTTGAGCCCTAAAGCAGCTCGTTGCTATCAGCCGATGACTTGAGCTGTTGACTTTATACTGTTTGAATTGCCCGTTGGGAAATACTTGCGTACACTTGAGCGTGCATGTTCAAGAACCTTCTATACAGCTCAGTATGCAGAGTATGCATGCATTAAAAGCATAACCCACGATGGGGAGGGGGCAGGACCGGTATGTATGCATGCAGCACAGTATGTCACAAAACTGTAACAGCACACAAGCTGCAGCTGCGGAAGCTAAAAATCTCAACAGGCTGAGTGGGTTTTTCTCTGTCAAAGGGCGACTTTCAGTGTTGGCAGATGGATGATGGAGAAAAAAGAAACGGGGTGGAGGGTTTGGAGTCAATACACACACATGAACACAATGGCCCTATTTTGAAAGAGCACAGAACAAGTGCACACCGAGTTGTGCATCTGCGTGCACTGACTGCGCGCATCTCTTTACAAACACTGCAGTATGTCAGCCTTCCTACTTAACCCGTCACTAACTCTCCTGCACAGCACATAAACTCATTCCTGGATGCCGTCATTGTCCTGAGAGCTAAAGCGTAACCCAACGCATGATGAAAACATAACATGGATCGGGTTTAGCTGCTTATTTTCATTGCTGTGTTACCAAGGTTTCAGTGCTGGAGTGAAAGAAAAGAATAGAGGGAGGAGGAGATAAACAAGCTACATAAAGCAGCTGAAGGCGATGACTGGGGTAAACAGAAACTTGGCACAGGACAGCCAGAGATTACTGCATACCTCGCGAGTGAGCGTGCACACACATGCGCGCACAAACACAAAGACAGACACCTGAGCACATGAACTGCTTGATTTCATAGCACTTTCATCAGTTCACAGGCAGAGGTTGTGTACAAATGAACTGGAAGTTACTCTTTCCGTGCTCCCAGTGTGCTCTGTGCAACTTCACCGAGGCTGAGAGTTGCCTAACGTCTCATGCTTTGGCAACAGGAGCGACAACATATTTGCTTTTTGACACATCAGTTATTTGGTTAGGTCACGCCTGTAAAAGTACAGAAGCATTTGTAAAAGATACCACCTATTGTTGTTTTTTTAAAGATAGCAAATCAGATTTGACTCACAAACAAGCTCAGCCCTCTCTAATACGTGACACATTTCACATCTGACACATTATGATAAAATGCATTACTTTACCGTGATGAAACAAAAAAATCACCTGTTTTTCCTCTTGGCACAAGAACTGTATTTGGAAAGTTCAAGTACTACAAGTTGGCAGTCTGTGTTCTTTGTTATTCATTTGTGTCACTCTACAGCTTTATGCTCCAAGAGTGAGTTAAGAGCATTTTCTTTGCTTCATTGCAGAAAAGTCCAGCAAGAATATAAAAAGACACTGACATGTTACATAAAACAACACAATCAGTGCTTCCAATACACCACAAACCTGTGCAACCATCAGTTGTTCTATTACCGACTATATTTCTGCTGACACATCATACCCAAAGGTTGATGATCAAGTCAAATAAAACTCTCTGATGTCACATTATACAAGGCTGAAACCGTTTTAGTTGAAATATTTTTGCAGTCAACCAGTACAAATGTCACCAGATATGCATCAGCGTTCCTTTCTTTCATTTTCATCCATTTCTGTATCTTTAATGAAACATAAACTGCACACTAAGTTGACAGAGTGTTGCAAAAGCTGTATTCATTTATTTCCTCGATCAGTAAGCTGATGCCTCTGAGTGATGAAACCTTTTCTAGTACTTTCATGGTAGATAGTTCCTCTGTGTTTAAGTGTTTATTAGCTCTATCTCGTGAGCATCAGCTGCCTAAAGATGGATGATCTCATGTTCAGATTGTTTTTCTCAGACTCACAGCAGGATTCACCTGCAGCCAGGTGGCAACAACAACAACAACAACAGGTCGAAGTTCACACAGAGTCTCACTGAGATTCAAATCACAGCAGCTCCCTGCCTCCAGCACGTCACAGCACTCAGCGGTGGAAAGCAATAAGAACATTTTACTCAAGTACTGTAATCAAGTAGAGTTTTGATGTACTTGAGCATTTCAAATGTATACCACACAATATTTCTGTGACTGAGGGCTGCATGGTGGCTCTGTGGTTACAACCGTCACCTCACAGCTAGAAAACATGAAAAGATGTTGAGGTTAATTGGTGATTCTAAATTGTCCGTAGGTGTGAATGTGAGTGTTCATGGTTGTCTGTCTCTAAATGTAGCCCTGTGATAGACTGACGAACTGTCCAGGATGTCCCCTGCCTTCGTCCTAAGTGATAGATGATGGATCTATTTCTGGGACAGCCAGAACCTGTATTGATCAGTCAACTGATCTGAAAGTGAACTAAAAATGAAATGGAAATAATTTTTTAAGGTAAAATTTTAACGTCTTGTGCAAAAAACGTCAAATAAAAAGAAAATATGTTCTGACTTTTAAACTGTAGGTTAATATTTTGTCGCATTTTATAGACTGTATCAAAGGTGATACAGTTTTATAGACTGAACTATACACTATACAACCTTCATCTCAGCCTACAGTGTAAATAAACCAATGGATGTGGACAAAAACAGACCACCTGTTCACAATCTTTATCTGTTTTTCTATTTTTATTTGTTTTTATTTTTTAACGTCAATATATAGTTTATTAATTAGGATTAATAATAGTAATTTTACTAGATTTTATTGGTAAATAAACAAAAAAATCTGTAAAATAGTAATTTTACACATACACTTTACCTTTTTTTTTTTTAATCCTTGATATACACATTTTTTTCTTTCAGATGATGGCAAATATCTGTAAAAATAATATATATTTTTTGATGATTTACACAAAGTAAAAAAAATAGAGGACTTTTAGAGTTGTAAAAATTGCAGTTTGTACGTTTTTAGAGTTAGCATGTAAAAATTTTTTTTAGGGGATTTTACTATTTATCTGTAATTTCACAAACGGGGAATCTGTAAACTAACTATGAATTGTAAAAAAAAAAAAAAAAATCTTTTTTTTTTTTTCAAAATAGCACTAATAGAGCAATTCTACTTCTCAATAAGTACACACATATATAGTTATTTATTACTTAACTAGCAAATCAGATTACTGACTGCCCTGAGTAAAGGAAGACAAACACATCTGAGATAAATGTTCCAGTTGAAGGAGAGATGTTTTGTCAGTGAGGCGGTGAAAGGTTGGGCCACTGTGTCGCAAAACCTTGAAACAATTGAGACAAACATGATAAAGCACACAGAGTCATGGGAGAGGTGCAGGTGACTCACTGCAAACAAGTTGTACGTGTGCGGAACAGGTTCTGTGAGAGGAGGACAGGTGTTTCCTACAGCAGAGCTCCGAGCGCAGCGAGCAGCTCAGACATCAGGCTGTTTGTTTTTTGTTTTTGTTTTATAAGTATTTGTCCAATCATACCGTAAATATTCCAGTATTCCGGATTAATAATAAAAGTGTGTGTGTGTGTGTTTACGCTCACCTCCTTGTGTCTGCGCGCCGCACAGTTGGAGAGCGCACGGCAGCAAGACGCACAGCACCACCTGCTGCACCTTCCTCATGGAGCCGCTCATCCTCATTCTATTCCCCAGCCTGGTGTCGCTTTTAAAAGTACATCAACGTCATATTCACGAGAAAAAAAATCTGCCCTTTTATCGTCCAAAACTACCAATCAATCATTTCCCTCCGATGCTGTGCCTTTAAAACCAGGAAGCTGCAGCTGGGTTTTAATCCAGATCGTCCAACGTTTTTCTTTTTCCTTTGCTTTCCTCTCAGAAGAAGGTGTAAATCCGGATCTGGAAAAATGCTGTTTGTGTTTTCTTACTTTGACATTTGACTGAGTCGCAACTCTTTCCGAGCCGCCCGCTCCGCTCCGTGTGAGAGGAATCACTACAGCTCAGTGATTGGAGCGCAGCGCGCAGCCAATCAGCGGCGGGAGCGGCTCTCTCCTCTGGCACTGATTTATGTGGGAGGACGCATGCGCCTGCAGCCCCAACACCAAATTACTCGCTAACTACAAAAAAAATAAAAAAAAAAAAAAAAATAATAATAAAAAAACGTAACAGGAACACTGAAATCACCTTGAATGCTGAATTCACTTAACTCGTTAAGATGGGGAAACAGGAAAATGCTCTCTTGTCTTGTCCAAACCAAGTTCACAAACACATTTACCCTCATTGATTTGAAAATTTGAAGATGATTGTGGGTCTGCAGAACGCTTTTTTTTTAAACCTTAAAATTGGTTTTGATATCTGCAGAATTTGCAGCACAGTAAACTTAAACATCACAATACAAAAAACAAGACACAAAAGCAACACAAACAGCTACAATAATCACCAGAAAGCAGAATTCAGATCCATTGTTTTTAATGACTGTAAAGATTCTCAGGTTTGGTAAAGCTCATGTTGCACAGGCGCTTATTTCCTTCAGTTATTTGTGCATTTGTCTTTTTTTGTTCTAACCAACTTTTATTGCTTAATTGTATTTGAGAAAACAACTTAACACAAGTAAATCCTTATTTTTAAAGCCAAAGCAAATTATACATGATCCATTGATCATGGAGTGGCCAAAGAAAACTCGTCTCCTGTTTTTGTTTCTCGAGTTTCCTTGATGCATAACTAACTTTCAGAACAGGTGAGTCACCTGCTCTTTAACCTGCATAACCTGAAAACATGTGTCCTCAATGCAGAGTAGACCAACCCTTCTAATCTGTCCACTGCTGCAGAAAAACAACAACAAACACAACAACAGATCTTTTGAAAAACACTTCTCTTTCTGCTTCTCTGCATGCTGATCTTCTCGGCTGGCACATTTCTTACACCTGTTGCCTTAACAGTGGGACTTTGACCCCCTCCACTCCTTTATGCAGGAGGTCTGGATGTGTAAGATTACTTTAGTGCTGCATCATTTCATTGCTGCGTGACTTTACTGCTACGCTAATTTAGTTGTGTATGCTCGACACCGTGCATTTCTTCAGTAACTCAAACTAATGCCTGCGTAGGTTAGAAAAACATATCTTCTGTCACCTTGCTAGTTTGTCACATAATCTTCAGACAAACATCAGCTGCCAGTAAAGAGTGGACGAGCAAGAAGAGCAGCTCTGTGGAAACTGGCTCTGCCTGCACCTCCAGTCTGTCTCAGGCTCACAAACAAACAGCCTCCGTTCCTTTGTCTGCAAGCTCTGAATACACAGAATTACACATCTGACAGAAGAAATGTCTCTGTTTCCCTCTACGCAGTCACCTCCTCTTCTTTCCTGTTGAAATGTAAGAGGGGTGTTAAAAACAAATGGTTAATATTTCACCGCTGACGGAAGCCATTATCAAAAGCAGTGGTGAGCCGTCAGGGTCAGCAAGGCCTTCTCTGTTGGCCTCATCTCTGTCAGAATCACTGACTTACATTGTAATATTTTCCCATTGTTCTTTTTACATTATTCTCAATCGTCTATTCTTTGCATTTCATAGCTGTCTCTGGGCTGTGGTGCTTTAAGACAGAAAAAGTTTGAGAACCACTGCTTTAACCAATCAGATTTAGAGTTGGTGGTCCTCGGGCCAGCTAGCTGGCCTATGATAAGGTCAGCACTATCACATCCTCTCATTGGATCATTGGATGGTCAGAGAGCTTAGCCAAAGCTAGCGGTTCCTATCTGTAGCAACTTGCACAAGCTAAAACTTTATCTTAAAAGTTTTTTATTTTTTTATTTATTTGTTTTTTTAAGTTAGGAAAACTTTCATTTTAAAGCAAATTCAAACTTATGGCAGAAACACAACTGGACAGCTTAGCCTCCATGGTGACAGAACAGGGCTTATTGTTGGAAGTGAAACACACACCTGCTCAACAGAGTGACTGAACTCTTTGCCATGAAAGAAAGGAGGATGGAGTTGTGTTCAAATAATCACAATTTTTGGTGAGTAAAATATATGTTTTTGTCATTTTATTGGGCTGATATTGATGCTCCTGTTAGATGGGCAGGTTCTCACCAGAAATTTTTGACAATGTAGTGGGGGTCTTAGTGACACTCCCCCCCATTAGCAAAGACTTTAGCGTCTTTGCTGCTAACCAATAGCAGCGTTAGCAGTAAAGACGCCAGTAAAGAAACAAGTTTCGTAGGAAAATTTGCATGTTTTTCTGGAAAACATGTCAAATTTTCTGCATACATACAGTTGAAACCAGAAGTTTACACACAGTGTATAAAAAGACACGCAACCTTTTTTTCTCCCTGTCTGACATTAAATGTGACTAAACTTTTCCTGTTTTAAGTCAGTTAGGATTACCAAAATTATTTGTATTTGCTAAATGCCAGAATAATGAGAGAGAGAATTTTTCACTACTTTCTTCAAAGTCAGAAGTTTATATACATTTCCTTAGTATTTGGCAGCATTGCCTTTAAATGTATGACTTGGGTTAAACGTTCTGGGTTTCCTTCCACAACCTTCTCACAATAGCTTGCCTTCTTCAGGCATCTGGAAATTGTACTCAAGGATGAACCAGACGTATGGAGGTCCACAATTCTCTTCCTGATGTCTTGGCTGATTTCTTTAGATTTTTCCATGCTGTCACAAAGGGAAGCAGGTTATATGTCTTTTTATACAATATATGTAAACTTTTGGTTTCCTCTCTCAATCAAATGTTGCTCCTCCGTTGACATTTTTAAGATGTGCATGTTTTCAATAGGTTTTGGTTGCTCTTAATATATTTTAGTATTTATTTTTTATTTTATGTTATAGATGATCTTCCAAGGTGTTGGTTTCTGTTTTACAGTATTTTAGTATTTTATGTCATTTATTTGTTTTACAGATTGACATTACAAGTCTTTATCCTGTCACCGACTATGTTATAAAAAAAGTACTGAAATATTAATCTTTTTCTTTTGCTTCAAACTAAGCTGGCACGTGTGATGATTGTAAATTAATATTTATTTGTTCAGTAAAATATTCTGGGAATACAGAAAGGTTCGTTTAAAGGAGTGGCTTAGTTTGTCTCAGTGTTTGTGTAAAAAAAAAAAAAAACATGCAGACACTAATTTAAGTGCTGTCTGCTTTTTATTAGGATTAACCCATATTTAGAAGTTAATTATGTTTAAGCTTGAAGATTTGGGGGATTTTAAAGAGGACAGATTTGAAGACAGACTGTGCTGTTCCTTTGTAGAGCAAGTTGAACAACTTATTGAGACTCAGCTATGCCAACACATTGTACAGGGCTAAGTGCAACTTCTGGCTGCACACAGAGAAAAAACATTTAAAGTCATAATGTCTTTTTTTTAAATCTCTAAAACAGACCATATAAACACTGACTGTTTCCATGTTTTAAGGTGGGGGTCACTAAGGTCACAAACAAAACTAATGTGTCAAGGGCAACTCAATTCACTAATAGTTGGGGCCAATACAACATTGGTACAAATGTTTAAATCCCGACTGCAGGTCATTCCCCCCCTTTTTCTGTCTCTTTCCACTGCCACTATTAAATGAATCAATATGCAGACAAATAATAATTTTAAAATGGTTTAAAAAAAAAAAAAAAAAAAACATGTTTGTGGAATTTGTCAAAAAATATAGAAAAGATGGAATCAAGATGGGAAAACCATTTAAAATACGATTTTAAGCTTTCAAAAGGCAGTTTAGGGTTTACAGGATCCCACGAGCTTTGAATTGTATATTACAGATCAGGAATGTTCATGCTTTGAACTACACTACCTGAACAGATAGTTACTGAAGACTGTCCTCTCCTGGCAGAAACTTGTCATAGCAACATCTTCACCATTTTTGTTCCTTTTCTCCAGTCATTCATTCCATGAGGTGTAAATATGCAGCAGTAACAGTCACTCCCAGCTGATGACACGGGTCATACAGAAAATGGGTTTATTTGTAATACAGCAGGATCTTGTTGTCTTACATCACATACAGATGTCTCCATGCATTCAGCATTGAAACATGGTCGTCACCATTTTTAAAACTACTTGTGCAACTGTAACGGTACAGAATGAATCTTCAGAAGTATTTTTTTTTTATTATTTATTTCCGCACTGGTTATCATTGTTTCACAGACACAGTCTACACCAATGTTTCTTTAAACCCCAAAGGAAAACCAATAAAATCTACCACCAAATATGAATCAAGTATACTGGCAAAAACAAAACGTACTATACGACAAAACCTCTGCTTATCATCGTGAACTGTGGCGCAAAAAAAACCCCAAAAAAACATGCCTGTTTAGGGCATAGAGGAATAAATCTGCAAATCATTCTTTATAGATAAATATATGTGAGTCGAAATTAGGACCGAACTAGCCGAGAGGAAATCAATCAGAAGTCATCACTAAATATAAGGCCACGCAAACCAAATGAACACACTCATGATTTAACATAGACGCTGAATATGAACAACGCACAGAGAAGTTGGTAGTGTGGATGTGCAGTGTGTTGCACTGTTGCTATTGTATGAGCAGTCGTGCCCATGTATGGCACAAAGAAATCGTTTTATTGACAGAAGTCTGTGGATTCTGCTGGTGTCAGCTTGTGACGCAGTAATTCGTCTGCTGTTCAAAAAGTGAGTTGTGGACGTGCTGAATGAATATCTGCAAACGACAATGCTGACTTATCGATCTGCTTACCCTGCTTTCTTTCGTATTATTATGCAGACACATCACTGAAATGATGGAATATGCACGTCGGAAAAACATCATCACAGCCATTTATAGATTCATCAACAATATTCACATTCAGTAACACAGAGGAACAGAGTCAACCCCCCGATATGCAGGTCTGAGACAAAAACACACAAGCGAGAGCAACCTGATGCAGTTTGAGTACTCGTATGGACACACAAGAAGGCAGACAAGCAGCAGCATCTGCACCGAGTTTATGGGCAGATCAGCCTTTATACTGTTTTCACATTAAAAGATCACACAGCTGACTAAAGGGGTGTTTTCCTTCTTTTTTTTTTTTAGCAAATGTTGCCACCTGATGCAGAAGGTGGTGGTTCAGTTAGTTTCTGTTGTAAACAGCACCAGAACACAACGAGCATCGACATCTACGCAGCTCTCAGTATGGAGGAGTGTGCAACAATGCCAGCAGGATGCATGCAGCTCAGGCAATCGAGAACGTGTTGCGCATTTTAAAATATTTAAAAAGGGGCGGCTTCAACGCTTCGGGTTGCCACACGGGGAGTAGAAACGCACCGCAGATATCAAAAGATTTCCAAAGTGTGGCAGTAAGAGGATGTGTGATGAGGAGAGGAAATCCAGCACTGATCCAAACTGTCCAGGCCGCTCGCATGAACACACAGAGGATGTGTGTGCACGCGCATGTATGCACTAAATCTGTTACCTCAGCATTGCTCACAAACTAAAAAGGGGAGAGCAAACCATTAAAATGAATTATGGTGACATAAATCTGCCAGCTGTGATTGTTTTCAAACATGGCTCTGTTACCCCGCAGAAATACATTAAAAAAAACAGAACAAAAAACAAAAACATGTAGTGCAACTGACACACACTTTGCATGGACAACTGACAGTTGAAAAACATACATCAACAAAGTCATATTTGACTGATTGCTGACTCAGTGGAGTCACACATGACTCGGCACAGCACCTAGAGACTAACATACAGTACATTGCACCTAAGGACAAGAGGTGGACGGAGGAAAAGCAAGTGTCTGCTGTGATTGCTTACAGTTAGTGTGTGTGTGTTTGTGTGTGTGTGTGTGGTTAAATATGAACATGAGAATTTGTTTTCAATAACTGCTGAAAACTATTAGGAACAGACCAAAAAGTGAAATCTCCCCCAGACCCAGACTCTTTCTTCACACCTAACCAATCAAAACCCTTGAACCTCACCCCGCACCCCCATCCCCAAAACAAATAGAAAGTCGGATGGGTGTGGCTGCTGGCTGCCTTTTCCGCTTTTCTTCTTATTTCTTGTTCTTGAGTTGATTGGCCAGCCAATCAAGGCCCTCATAGAGGCCGTCGCCGCTGGTGGCGCAGGTGGCCTGGATGTACCAGTTACGGTGACGCAGAGAATGCAAGCCCAACTTATCTGTGATCTCAGCAGCGTTCATGGCGTTCGGTAAGTCCTGTCAAAGAGGAGAGAGGTCAGTGAGCCGAGAGCACTGCCCTCAGATCTCTATACGTACAGAATAGAGTTACAGCAGGCATGTTTGGACTCTTATATTTGTCTATGTGGAGTTTATTTATCGCTTCACTGAAAAAAAAAAATCAGTGCCAGTTTTGTACTGAAGTAATTTTTTCACATGTGCAGCCCTCCTTCTCTCGCTTGTAAAATATAATAGCAAATTAAATATCTTTAGTTTTTAACGACTACTACTCAAAACAAGTAGTTTTGTACAGTCGTGGCATTATAAATTTCTGAGGGTACAGTTCACTGTTTTCTGACTAACAATTATTCAAGTTATCTGCCAGATTGCTGCATACAAAAATAAGGCAGCTCTAGTAATGTGCATCCAGTTATACATTGACATTTATATTTAAAATGGGATAATTCCCCACAAATGAAAGCGGACTACAGAATAATATTAAAACACTGTCAGCTTTGTGGAAAAAGTCTTGAAAAGATAACTGAATTCCCAGCGAAACTGTGTAGTTGCTGGAGAGTTTGTAGGCCGTTACAGCTTATATATAATTTAGGAATGCCCTGTAGTCGATATGTTTTGAGGAACATATTACATATTTGAGTTACCATTTACAGTACATCTCATTGTTTTGCAATCATCTAAACCAGGGGTTCTAAAATGTATTACTCAAATGTCTGCATCCAATTTTTATTGAAGTTCAAAGGTCCAGAACAATGGGAAATAACAAATAACGTTTGATCTGTGCTTTTAGGCTGAAAATCTGGCAGCAAGGAAGCCAGAAAAATCTGTTTAAAAAAAACAACAAAAAAAACACCACCAACAACAACAAAAACACAGTGAAATGCTGTAATATTTAAAAACTGTAAAAACGTTGTGAATTATCTGTATATTGTATTTTTTATTTTGATTTAAATACAGTTAAGCTGTGTAGCTTTGTGGTCACACATTGTAAAAGAACAAATTATGATTAGTAAAATTACAGATATTTGTAGACATATACAGTTTTTCCCTTTTTTTTTTTTTTAACTGTTAAAAATATAATTTAATACTTTTGGGAGATTTTAGTAGTTATTTATAGTTTACCAATGCAGGGGGAATCTGTAAAAAATAACAGTCAAAATATGATTTACCAATTTTTAACCTGTAATGTACATACTTTTTCTTACAAATAATAGTAAATATCGGTAAAATAATTACATTTTGTTTGCGGATTTAAATACAGCAAAATGACTGTAATTTTATGCTCAAATAAAAGAGCAAATTAGCATATAGAAAACATGTTTTAATGTAGACATTATTTCAAGTTTTACTCTGTTTTTTTGAGTTTACATGTAAATGAATACTGTTTTGTGATTTGACTTGATACTATTGATAATTACTGTAAAATATCAGAAAATTGTTCAAAAATTACAGTTTTTTAATGTTCGTTTTTCACAGGGCTTTTAAGTTCAAGATAATCAAGACAGTAAAAATATTTTTGCGCCTAGTGGTAGAAATAGCACTTGCCTATAATCTCTTGCATCAGTGTAATGTCTGAACTCATGATTACAGCACAAACATCAGATCTTTTGTGATTAACAAGCACGAAACCGAGACAGTTTATCCATATTTATCTCCGCCTACGACATTTTCATACATTTAAACTAGTTGTAGAAATTGTGTTGTGTAGCTGTGATTTAGGGGCTCATAGCAAATCCTCTGATGCAGCTTGAGTATTTTCTCCACTGTGTGTAAACTCAGCAGCAGAAGCAGTTAAAGTTGCCATGACAACAATATCAACAATGGGAAGATAAACCTCATTAACACCACATTAGTATGGGGACAGGATCTCTGAATAATCTCCAACTACACTCTATATTTACTTTCACTAGCTAATTATTTGTCAATGTAAAGTATATTTCAGAATAGAATATGTTACACTTGATAAAGCATTGTATTCATAACATGAGGCATGTATGGGCTGGGTCTGGACAGACTTTCTGTTCAGTCTGGATGCAGATCCGGGTCCAAATTTTCAGAAGTCCTGACCTAAGCTTTATTGGCTAAAACTATTAGTCAAATACTAAATGATCAGCAAATATTTTAATCATTATTTTCCAAGCAACAAAGCCAAAAAACAGTGGTCGCTCTTGTTTAATATGCCAATATTTCCTTTTTTTAATGTAATTGTAAACACAATATCTTTGAGCTGTCAGTTGAACAAAAGATTATTGAAGACGTCATCTAAGACTTGCATTTTACTGTTTTCTGGCATTTTGTAGACAAAGTGATTTCAGTAATTACTCAGAAACATAGCAGACAGATTTATGTCGATAATGAGTTGAAAAGAAGTGATTGTTAGCAGCAGCCGTTGACTAAATTATCCTTCATTGTACATTACTGCCTTTCATGACTGTGGTAATCATTACAGCAGACGCAGTAATTCGGTGCCACTGGAAAAACGTAACTTCTTCACAAGCAGAGGAGGAGATAACTTTAATTTTAGTCATTTTTAAGGGTTTAAGGCAGTTAATAGAATATAAGTTAATTAATATAATTAATATAGTTAATTAATATAATTTTGCAAATTAGATCAGTGTTGGGCATTCATCATTATTTGATCCTGATCAGTCTTTGTGTGAATCTTTTTGAGGTCAAAAAGGTCAGCTGAGTCAGTTCATTTTGAATTACATATTTTTGTTCTCCTATCTTTCTTGCATTCCTATTTTCTTAGACCTGTGAGCTGCCAATTCTGATAGTAATAGCTTCTTCTCTTTTTTTTAAAAAAACCAAACCACAAAAAATAGTTTATTCACATTATTTCCCTACAGCTTTTCTAACAATTTTTACTGTATTTGACTCTTATAACAAATAATTTTGACCAGCTTAAAATATAATTTTATTTTTTTCCACAAGGAAGAATAGAATGTAGATTTATGAGGTTTCTTCCTTCGCTACGAGCCTGTTTTGTATTCATATGCGCTGCGTGTGTCTGTATATGCAAAACAGTGATGGTTTCTTGCCTGTTTATTAGCAAACACAAGGAGCACTGCATCTCTCAGTTCATCCTCAGCCAGCATCCTCATCAGCTCCTCCCGTGCTTCGTTCACACGCTCTCTGTCATTACTGTCCACCACAAAGATTAGACCTGAAAACAGCACAGAGAACATGCCACGTGATGCGTTTTCCACAGAAGAAGAGAAGCGTTCCTCTGTTTATGCCCTCTGATTAGCTCTGCTCACCCTGTGTGTTTTGAAAGTAGTGTCTCCAGAGGGGACGGATCTTGTCCTGCCCACCTACGTCCCACACAGTGAAGCTGATGTTCTTGTACTCCACCGTCTCCACATTAAACCCTGAAAGGAGGAAAGAGGTCAGGAAAAATGTGAAGCAAACACAGTGATTCATCTTCAGCATGCATGAACAGAAAACTCCTCGCACGTACCAATTGTTGGGATGGTGGTGACTATTTCCCCCAGTTTGAGCTTATAGAGGATCGTTGTTTTACCAGCTGCGTCCAGCCCCACCATCAAGATCCGCATCTCCTTCTTTCCTATGAGGCTCTTCAGCAAATTCCCAAAAATGTTCCCCATGATTCACAACTTCAAATCTGCGGCAACAATTGTGATGCTGGAGGCTTTTCTGCAAAGTGTCAGCAGTCCAGCAGGGATCGATTATTAAGGAGGGCTGAAGGGAAACAGAACAAATGACCCTTTAGTACGACTCTCATGTGTGCAGCTACACTGAGAAGTGATAATGCTCATCTGAATTATTAACATGTTAGAATAAACGACAGAATTATTAATGAGGCACATTGTGTGTCAGGTTTTTGGTAAATTGCAATGAAAACCAGCTCCGGCTCACTACACCTCTCACCTTTCTCAAACTACACCATCATGCCAGAAAATCTCACTTCTACAAGCGCACCGCAAGACAGGTGCAGAGCAATGCTACTCGCCAACAGTCATCATCGCAGAAATGGTGATGGAGATGAATGTCAGAGCCTTGACTCCAGGCTACTGCGCAATCTGTTCAGACCCTTTTCGCTGTTTTTTTTTTTCTCCTTCAGATGTTAGCCTGCAACAACGCCAAGCCCTCAGAGCACATGCAAAATGTCCTATATTACCAGGCCTGTCTTCAACACACTGAACATCATCTCAGCACAAAGCCACCTGATCTAAAACAGAGACAGAGATGAAAGATGGCTGCCTTTCCTCTCTACATTATGCTTTCTTATATTAAGTCAAGTCACATCAAGCCAAAGTAAAGACCGTCCCTGTTGGCTTTAAAATCTGCACCACAACATGCAGCACCTTTTATCTGAGACCCCTGATTTAGGAAAAGGAAAAACCTCAGGAAGATGTTTCTTTCATACAATAGCTGTCACATACAGAGAGTAGGTTGAAAAAGCAACAGTGAAAGTATAATATCAATTAACTGAAAGAAAGCATTAGTTGAGAAATGTGCAAACAAGGGCAATTGAGATTTGCGGTATAACTTTTTAAAGTCAAGCCTCAGCTTCAATATTTACTGTGTAATGGATTTATAAAAATGTGATGGAGCATTATCACATGAGACACCATCAAAAACATGAGCATTACACATGGAGGATGACACGAATGTGTTAAGCCATGGGTCAGACGTGCTGTGTAATGTAAATTCAATGAAAATTGTATATTCCTTGGCTTCAAATTATATTTGCAATTGACTGTTTGTTCCTCGTGTAAACATACAACAAATATGGTTCAGAGAAAACAATGAGCAATGTGTAGGTGTCATATAGCCATAGTAGGACAATGCAGTGACCAAAAATTGGAGTAATTCTGATTTCCAGTGTCAAAAAATATTCTCTGTGAGTGAGAACCATCTTTTTTCCAAACACAGTTAACACAATCTGATGTGTGTAAAGTGACGTGTTTCATTCCAGCCTAAACTAAACCCGTCGTGTGACTGTACCAACATCACAGTGTGTATAAAAACTGGAAATATCACAGTGATCACACATTCTGAATTACTAAGTGTGTGCAATTTTCAACGTGGAAACAAGACAAGACGGTTCCTTTAATATGTAATGTATTTGCATTGATTAAATCACCCCTGTGACCATATTTGCAGCTAAAGACAGTGCACAGGCTCAGTGAAGTGAACTATCAGACTAGAAAACAGCAATAAATGCAGACAGCAGTGTATACGAGTGTGTATGCAGCAGCCCTGTCCATGGTGCTGAAGAGGACCGACGCAGTAGCTGTCACTGCCTGACTCCTCTTGTCACCTACATACAGGTTTCAGATCAGTTTTAAACAGGACATGTGTAGACGGTGGGGTTCAGAGGCAGCAGGGCCGCGGTGAGCCGGTCTCATCATGTCCACTGAGCTCCGGGTGACTCAGGTTAGCTCGAGATGCTACGTTAGGTAACGTTACAGCCGTCACTAGCTGCACATTTAACATCCCCCAGCCTCGGCTAACTACTATCCGCACTTTATTCCAGCTCAATTACCGGACCTATAACAAACCCATTTATCCGTCTTGGTTTGCTTTAATCGCGGGAATCGATTAGACGTGACGGCAGCTAGCCGTCCTGATCCGCCCCACTCATCCGACCGCTCATCACCTCAGCGGGCATCCTGCTACCAGCGAGCCGCCCGACGCCGCTGCTCCCGGCCCCGGGCCACACCGAGGCTACACACCGGCACACGGGACAGACACCAGGCCACAATATCACTCTGTCACCTGCTGGGACCTTGGTGAAATGTTCGGTGTAGGTGATGGATCCAGTATCCTGACTTACCTTAGCTGAGCAGTCCTCTACTGAACGTCTCACGATATTTTCCGGGTGACAATTCAGCATGAAAACGAGATCTCGCGAGAGTAGGTGTCAAAACCAAAATGTAGTTGACAGACCTTTGAAAGGACGTTTAAGCGACCTGGTGGAATGTGTTTGGTAACAAATTTGATGTTTATGGACATTATTTTAAATCAGTCTTGAGTTTGCCTCAAAAAATAAATAAAAATGCAACATTAGTTTATATCCAACAGTGTCAGGAAATTTTATTATCATGTGCAATATTACTTCAGTATTACATTTTAGCTTGCTTTGTTTTTTGTACTTGCATTTATTCTCAAGTTATTTTATTTAAAAAAAATAAATAAATAAAAAATACGAGTAATATCTGCCTCAAGAATTTCCTTCAGGATTAATACAGATCTCATCATGCAGTGGACTGTGTGCAGGTATACGACTCTGGTCTCCCTTGTTTTTAACTATTTGCTTACAGTTTAATCTCATGTCTATGTGTACCCATCCACGATTCCCCAGGACATCTTACTGATGAGACTAAACTTGATAGCGTTAACAGCTCTCACCATTTATTTATTTGTTTGTTTGTATTTATTACACTTTAAATGCCCTGCACACCTGCCCACACAGAGAATTTTATTTATTTCACCTCATTTTGTTGAGACTTTCCTCCCAACACTGGCTTGACTCCACTGGTATGGGATAGTATAAATGACACCATTATAGAGTTGCAACAATTAAATGAATAATTGTCTTTTAAATTAATTTTTGACTACTTTGATATTCAATTATCAATTTTTAGTTTAGTTTTTTTTGTTGAGAAAACTGTCTAATTTGACTGATTCCAGCAGCATCTTAAATTTCATTATTTTCTGGGTTTTTTTTTTTAAAGTCTTCTACAACAGAAAACGGAATATCTTCAGCTTTGGGAAACACTAGTGGATATTTTTTCACCATTTTCTGACATGTTATAAATCAATAAATAATTCAATTATTCAAGCAAGAAATCTACAGATCAGCTGGCAATGAAAAACACTATTGGAGTCCTACACCATTATCATTCACTTAATTCTCAGCTTTCTAACTACAACTTGATTGTAGTTATTATCCAGATTACTGTAAATCATCTGTGGCGATGTCCAAAACCTTTAAATCTCTAAAGGAAAATGTGTCTCTTTACAAAAAACATGGAGTAAGTTTGTCTCAGAAATTACAATTTAAAATTTCAGTTATATAAAAATATATCTATACATATATAAAAATGTACATCACCCTCTGCTTTGGGCCTGTGTTACCACACTGTACAACCCAGAGGAACAACCAGAGCAAATTTCCTCAGGTAGAATGATAAACAACACATTTTGACACGTCATTGCAGGAAATCTGCACAAATGCCAACAATACTTCAAATCCATTTAGATGCATCACTTTCTGAGGCTTGGTCGGGTGCCTGCTGGCTCACTGAGGGATTTATTGGAACAGAGGTATCATCGGTGTTATTCATTACACCTGTGATTTTCTTATTATCACCAGTCAACACGTCTGCTATGAAGCTGGCCCGTTCTTCCCTCGCTGTGCGTCACACTTTTCAGTCACGTTATCAGCAAAGCTCTTCGACAAGACCTCAGGTTTACGTAATGACGTAGGTCAAATGTAAGCTTATATTGGTTTAATAAACGATAACATAAAAACAACTGAATTCCCACAGAGTGAACCTGGGGTCTTTGCTCACTTAATGAAAATAGCAGATAAATCACAAACATGATCATTAAAGTTTCCATACTGACCATGTTGTAACTTTTTCATAGTAAAAATCAAATTGAGTTGATCAATACAGCTAAAATACAAATTCCAACTAAGGTATAATTTAGACTCTCAGTTGCTGCTGAGTCCTGGAGATGCTGCTCTATTTCTTGCTTGGCATTGTTTAAAAATGTTCTGTGCTTTTATTGAAAATGTTCTGTCCTTCTGCATCTGCTGGTTTGGCAGTGCTACTAAGCCACAGAAAAGATGGTTAAAAAACTGTAACAATTGCCAGTAAACTGTTAGTTAAGTTAGTCTCCTATTATAGATAAATAAGGCAAATGTCCCTTGTCTCTTCATTTAAGCCTTTTGATAATCAGCTTGAATGACCTAAATGATCATTTATTCCCCAAGCCGTTAGATTTTTAAATGGTCAACACATATACCAGTAACTACGAAGTGCAGTTTGTCTGGCCATCCTAATCTGTCACAACATGTACAGTATGTCTCTGGGTAATTTATTTGTTGAGGAGAACTACCCATGTGGCTTTGCTCCAAACCACATTTCCCCACAGGAACAAATAAAATGTCTTTGTACCATGTAACCTCAGACTCACTCCATGATGTTGGGATCAGGGCTCTGCGGGGGTCATACCATCTGTCGCATCTTGCTCTTCCTGACTCTGCTTGTATGTCTGGAGTCATTGTCATGCTGCAGAATACATGTGGGACGAACCAGGCACCTCCCCAATGGCATTACAACACAGATACGATTCTTTTTTGCTCACTAAATTGCATCAGTAGAGAAAAAGATAACACAAATGTAGCAGATCCATATAGTAGGTTTTTAAAACATGCATTAAGTGCATTTGCAGTAAAAGGTTCACTCTGTCTCATTAAAACACTGCAAACCTCTGAGGAGGTCTTCTAATAGAATGCAAAAAGCTACACACTAGCTTCGCTGAATTTTCATAACTTATTCTGTAATCGGCTTCGAGTTCAGCAAGAAATAAGACATACGCTGAAATTACAAGCCTGAGAACTGTGAAGTCGTAACAAATCTAACTGCTACTGAGCCTGGGATCCTGTTATATAAAGTTCCCGTTGTATGTGTGAAGTTTTGGAGGAAATGTTGAAATGGTTTCCAGCATTGAATAACACTTGAGCAATATTTTCAGCCGCAGATGGGGAACAAAGTAAAGTATTTGTTGCATAAGCAGAATGCAACAAATTATCATTATGAAATATAATTCTAAAAAGCTTTGTGTAAATGGATCTTACCTGACTCATAATGACAACTCACATATTGCAAAAGTGTTATTCAGTGCTGGTTAATATAGCAGTATGTCTTAAACAACTACCACAGAGAATCTATCACCTACTGGTGGCCTGTGTGAATGTAAAATATTTGATGCACATGTTGAATGTGGTGATGGGGCTTGTTTGAAGAAAACCACAGTGGTTTTACCAGCATGTACTTATCTTGTTCTGTGACCTGAGGGAGGAAGTAGGCTTTATCTTTAGTTTGCACATGGATGAGTCATTAGTTTCTATTTCAGTGCAGAAGTGTATGAGTTTCAAGGTACCATTCTTAATCATGCACCCATTTTAAAAGAATACATTTAAATTCCTCATAAACTCATACCTCTTTCTGGTTTCCTACAATAAACATGATTGCTTTGTTAAATCGAGGTGCGATGGAGGCTCCTGGTTAAATGTGGTTAAGTAACATGGTGCTTCAACCTGGCAACAGTGTTGAAACCCAGCACATGCATCATTGGATGTTTGTTTTAGTTAACACCAGAGCTTAATACTAAACTCACTCCTCTGCATGACAAACCATCCTTTTGTGTAACACATGAGCAAGTGGCACAAATGCTGCAATCTGTGCAAGTGATCCCGCTGGAAAACAGAGCAGTTCAGACAAATGTGTGTAGTTTTGTGGGTCATTTTGTTATGATTTTGCAAAGGAAGGTGGGAGTAATTAATGGAGAAAAGCACTCCTTTGGAAAACACGCCATCACTTCCTTGACACAATATATTTGGGATTCCAATTTGGCATACATGACTGACATTAAGACAGCGTGTGATAGTTATGCTGGCTATTCAACCAAATTGTACAGACAATGAAAAGATTCCTCATGTTTCACCTTTTCTTTCTGTTGAAACTGTCAATGATTCACAGACTGATGCATTTGTTCTGGGAATAAAGTCTCTGGTTTGTGAGCAGGAAATGAATGACTATCACATTTTTCTTTTAGGAGACTATAATGTGCAGCCATCTGAGCCATGAAATGCCAGTAAATGTGAAGGGAACACCTTCCTGGATTGTTTCTGAAGAGTTATGTAGACATGCAGTCAGAAATTGCTTCAATTTCTGAGCTCCTGTAACTTGCCACATGAGCTAATAAGTTATATTACACAAGTTATATCATATTCTCTTTACACCTGATTTGCTGACATTTTGTCACCCTTTAACAAGTCACTGAGGCTTTCTGCCTGACAGGAGTGCTTATACAGTTGAAACTAAAAATAACGATGAAAGTGAGTCACAGGTGAAGAGAACTGGTCTGATATCACAAGCAGCTGACAGAACATCTCCTTCGTCTGTTCTCACAAAATAAAGCACATCTTTGAGAATCTTATACATTATGTTTAATATACAGGCAAGGAATTTTTATCGCGACAAAACAATGAGTATTTAGTTTAATGCTTTCATGTAGATTTTAATTTTGACTTTCAGGGATATTTGTTGTATTTGTTGCAACTCATCCATGATCATCAAAATAACCTGAATACATACATTTATGCAGAAATATGCACCATATAAGCACAGTATGAGCTGAGGTAAGGGACCTCGAGATGCAACAATGCCTATGTCACCGTAATGGAGGTTTTATTCGAATTTGCTTTGTGCTTTACAATAAGATAAGCATGAATGAACAGTTTGGAGCTCCCCCAAAGCTCTGGAGCCACAGACCAGCTGAATGCTGGGTCTGATTAATGATCCGGGCAGTACAAATTCAACATATTTGTGCTGTACTTGAGCACTTCTATTTAATGCAACTTTATACTTCTACTGCAAATAAGTTTTGTTTTTGTTTTTTTTTTTCCCCCCACCCCTTTACATTATCTAAAAGCTTTAGCTTCTTTTCCGAGGACAAGTTTTCATATCCTTCCTAATCAGTGAGATGTGTCGTATTTCAAAATGTGGGGACTTTGAATGTATATGACAAACTGAAGCTTTATGTGCTCCTATACAGGTTGAGGAAATTCTACTTCTTAAGATAAATTAACTATCCAACTCCCTCTTGGATGAGCTTGAAAGTTCACCAAAGCTGAAAACAGGCCATTTCTGAGCTAATGAAAAGCTGACTTTTTTTGTGATGTGTTGGTTCGGGGGGGATACAGGTGTCTTTTGCAAGATCTCGCAAAACTTTCTCGCCAAAAGTCATGTCAGTCTTATTGGATGTCTTCTGAAGACTGTGCCTCTTGCCAAGCGCTGCTTAAATGTCTTTATACTTGAGGCCGATTTAAAAATAAAACTTAATAAAACTCTCGTTCAGGTGGGTGTCCTCCATTGTCGTTTCTACATACTGCTTAAAAGACCCAGAAGTATTGTATACCTATAGTTACCTATAGTTTTGCAAGATCCCGAGAAAGTTTTGTGATATCTCACAAAAGATACCTGGGTTTTTTTGCCTTCTCTGTAGGGTCCCCCCCCCCCTTCTCCATTTCCTTTCCTGGGTTCCGTAATATTTGGAGAACCATCTGGGAACTCCAGAACTTTGTTCTACTTGATTCGGCTCTCCATCTTTTTTTTTTTTTGTGGTACAACTTGCCATACCGGTATCAAAATTGTTAACTATTATATAGGTTTTGTTTTCTATTACTGTAACAGGCAATAATCAGATATTAGAAATATCACAATAGTTAACTTCTGTATCATTAAGTTTTTGTCATTGTGTGCTCAAAGATCGGACTTTTCATGATGGTTTCATTTTTTTCATATTTGGACCCACCCATAATCAGACCATTTGCTGTACTAGCCCTGTGTTGCAGTTTTTTGTATTAATGGCGTGATGAGAATTAACGGGGAAGATTTCAGGTTTTTAATCTTTGAAAGTTCCCCAGATATTATTATTCAAACATAGCCTCAAACTTCAATGTGCAAAAAAAACATGCAAATTATTAAATTTGTCTTGTTGCATTTCATATATTAAGCTGTATTTTTAGATATCTTTACATTCTTATTTTATGCTATAAAATTTTCAAACAAATCAGAGATTGTAGAGAAGAATTGGTTGTAAAAATGTGACGACTTCTGACATGATGACCATTTGGTGCCCCCCTCCAGACTCTCAGTGGCCCCCCTATCAGCGTGTCTGGATGCGGCCCTGGACCAGAGAGACGGTGACTAGCGGCTACGTGGCGGCTCTGCAGCAGCTGGATCAGGGGGTGTCTGCTCCAGAGCCTCCAGCCTGGAGCAGGCGGAGCAGAGCCGGGCACAAAGCTGCGCAGCACCGCCCCCCAGCGCCTCCGCAGAGCGCCGCTTCCTCTTCCCACCCACAGCCAGCAGCCCGATGGGATGCTGGCGGAATGTTTGAGGCGGGCTCTTCAGAGAGACCCAGGTGCTGGGACAACGTCCACGGGCCGCTAGTCCTTATCGCCACAGCGTTTCACCACATCAGCATTACCTGGTGCTGAGCCATTTTGGACGCGGGGCTCGACGCTGCAGCTCCACTCTCCCCCTTTCTTTCTCTCTCTCTGCTGGCCGCTGAGCGCAGAAGAAGCCCACACGGAAGTTGGTGGATGGCAGCTCTTTTCCAGAAGTTCACAATGAGGACGAGCGTTTTGGTGCTGCTGCTCGGAGCTTTCACCTGTGGACTGGCACAGGGAGACGAAAACACAGCCGACGAGCTGCAGGTGGAGACCTTGGTGAGTGGAGAAACGTGTTACACTGGAACACATTGCAACAACACCGCAGCTCCAACGACAACACCACAATGTGAGATTTAAAAAAAAAAGAAGCATCGGTGTTAACTGTTAACTCCTCTGACCCAAGGTGAAACCAGAAACTTGCTCGGTACTCTCCACCATGGGAGACACGCTGCAAATCCACTACACGGTGAGTCAAAGAGGCGATCCCTCCTCATCTGTCTGCGCTGACTGATCCATCTGTAATTTACAAAAGATTATTTTTAGGGAAGCCGGCCCAGCTGATGACGAGCCCCGCGGTTGTCTATGTGGCACCGTCGGCACGAACCATGTGGACACCGCGGATTTTTTACGCACAGGCTGAATGATGTAAAAAGAGGCTCTGAGGTCTGATTGAAAGGCTTTCTGATGGCCACATTGATGGTCCAGCGTGGGTCAGTGTGTTTTTTTGTGGCTTTGTATTGTGTGAGAGGTGGACTCTGCTTCACTACGGAGTGATGGGGCGGTGCAACACGTCAGCAGTTCGGGCTCAGTCTGTCAGTCAGTGGGGCAGCACCACAGCCAGCTCATACACTGTAGTGGGACTTCAAGGTTTCCAGTCCTCACACATTATGGGCTGCAGGAGTTTTAATAACTCGTTGATTTATTAAAGATGTTTCAGCATTAAGGAACAGTAACCATATCTGTGAAGTCAAATCGTTTTGCTTGTTTGCCCCCACATGCCCTTTGACTAGGCCCCAACACAGCTGCCTCCCAGTCTGTGCCTCTCATGTGTTATCACTACCAGAGCCTGACAGATAAAGGGTTCTTGAGACCAATGCTGATTTAGGGGGTTGAAAAAAAATGCTACGAATAGATAAGCATGTACTCTTTATATATTAGGGCTGCAACTCATTTGAATTGTTGAATTATTTAACCCATCTGTCAATTAGTTGTTTGGTCTATAAAAGGCAGGAAAACTTGTTGATCAGTGTTCCCCAAAGGCTGAGATCACAGATGTTGTCCACAAAGGAAAGAAAACTGAAAACATTCAAATTTAAGAACTTGAAATCAGAGAATTTACTTGTATTTCTTTTAAATTACTGTATTTCAAACTAATGAGCGACTTTAAGACAAACCTCGACTCTGCTCAGCTGTGACGTGACTCTGCTACATGTGCTGCAGACAGCGTTGGAAATATTGGAGTCAGAGCTGCTCTGCTGAACAAACTTGGCACCATTTCTGAATTGCCAAGCATCTTTCTTTGCATTGTGTGATATAATTTTCATATCAGCACACACTGGACAATATATGCCAAAATATCAGTGTTAGGAAAAAGTCAATTGATATACTGGTCAGGCTCTAATCATTACAAGAGAGTCAAAGTGCCTGATTTTCCTGATGACTTAAGCTGATCTATAAAAGGCCAAATCCTGATGGTTTGAACCTTTATAACAGCAGTAAGTGTTAAACTGCTGTGTGTTTCAGACCCTGCTGGATTGATTTCAAGGTCAGCAGCACTTTGCCTTAAATGTAATTGTAATGTATGAGAGTCACAAACTGGACCGAATATCCTGCATGAGGACAAAAGAACATAAATACAAAAAAAATAAATCCATATACATCATTTTTAATCATTGGTCATATTGAGAATTGTTTGACTGTGAACAGTTACTGGAGTCCATAATGCAGAGTACAATATTAAAAAGTGTTTATACATATACTAAAGTAAATCATTATTTTTCACCAAAATTAAAGCACAGAATCTCAAGAATAAAAAAAGAATAAGAATGATCTTTAAAAGAGAATAAGTAACAAAAATGTGTCACTTTTTATACGACAAGAATTTGAATGTAGTTTTTAATTACTAAGATCTTGATCGCTCACTTTTGGCACCTGTAGATGAAAAACATTGGTCCTGTCACAAATGCTTAAATTTAAATATGTGTTTTGGTTTGTTTTTCCCAAAGTCAAGGCACTAATCACAAGTTCACTGAGGTCTAATTTGTAATTAAATTTTAATGATTTAGCCATTTGCCGATACAGACTGTGAGGGTAAGTAGCCCCGCTGAATGAAACATTGCCTGAAAGAAAGTTTTTAGCCTTGTTGTCTGTTTTAAATCAAACATCATGCGGAGGTTAGTCAAAATAACCCAAGTGCCGAAACAGCAGGAAGGTTGTAGAAAGAAACAAACTTGAGTTAAGAAACTTACTGGGATGCTGGTGTACAAGGTAAACAAAACGAAAGACAGCTGGTAGTCCAGGCAAAAGTGCTTCCAAAAATAAAGAAGGTAGTCGAAAATAAATACATCCACAGAAATCAAAAGAACAAAACCCACAAACTGTAGGCGCAAGTAATAAAAAACTGGCAGGACACGAGGGGTGCAAAATAGGAGGACAACAGGACAATCTGATAAGAACAGAGGGACAGACAAGACTATTTAAACACTCAGAACTGATTGTGGAGCCAAGACACAGGTGAAACTAATCAGGGTCATCAAAAGGGAGGGAAGCGAGGGACAAAGAAGAGAAGTAAAAACACAAGCAACACATGAGGAAATGCAATTTCAAAAATAAAACAGGAAGCACAGACAACAAAGACGAAAACACACACAGGGATGTATCACAAAAACCCCCAAAAAAGTAGCAACCAAAACCCAAGACCATGACAAAAACAGCTATAAAACTGAAAGAGTGTTGAATCTAAAAGGCCTTGCTGAGATAGTGTGTGATTATTTATGGCAGCAAATATACGGTCAGAGTTTTACAGGCTCAGAATGGGCCTCTGGGGACCAACTACACATGACAGCGAGCATGATCAGACAACACACAGCAATTGCAAAATCCCTGCACCTTCCTGTCATTTCTGACCAACTGATAAACGAAAATATCTGTAAAGTTTGAGTAAATGAAACCCCAATGAACAAAACTAGTTAAAAATCCGTGTGTATATAAAATTCTCAATTTTGCTGCTGGCGAATTTCCTTTGGCACTGGGTAAAACCACTATGGAGGGTGATTTAAACCTCTCTGGGGTACCAAAAATTCCTCAATGCAGGAAAAAAACGCTGACTGTGTTTAGTCTGCTACAGATGTTTAAGTCATCAAGATATAGATCATTCATACTGACATCTATGTATATAGCATTCAATTAAAAAGTCATAAATATTTATCAGTTTCCTTACATTTCTTGCTGAGAGTTAGATGATGATGCACTCATATCTGTCCGTTAAGTATGAAGCTAGAGTCAGCAGCTCGTTAACCTAGCTTAGCACAAAGAGAGGTAACGGGCACAACAGCTTGGTTTTGTTCAAAAGTAACAGAATTTGCTTATCAAGCCCTCAAAAACTCACTAGCTGGTGTGTTTCATCGTCTTTAAAAACATACAAAACATACAATTAGCATCTGTCAAACCATCACTTTAAGACATCATATTAGCACCATGAGAGGTAAATATTTCAAAGATGCTAAATATAGGTTGACCACAATTTCTTATATACGTTTTACATGTCTTCGAAGCTATGAATCTCTTTTGTGGTAAAACAAACCACCGTTTTTGTCAGGCCTCGTTAAACTCAAACCCAAACCTTCTTGTATAAATTTTGCACTCAGTGCACAAGTGACTCATGGAAAGAACGTCTCCATATTTTTTATTTTTGGCCCCCTCTCACGCCTCTTGTTGATGTTTTACTGATCAGGGTAAACTGATGGATGGAAAAGTGATCGACACATCACTATCTCGGGATCCTCTGGTCGTCGAGCTGGGGAAGAGGACAGTTATCGCCGGTAAGTTTACAAATGATAATCCTTTATGCAGGTTGTGTTGCTGAATCAGTTTGATTAGCTTACATCTGATAACTGGGCTCACTTACTTTGCTGATTAACTCTTTTCTGTGTGATTTTCTTATCAGGTCTGGAACAAAGTTTGCTTGGCGTGTGTGAAGGGTAAGTGAAGAGTAAAGGTCCACTGGGAAGTAAGGGCTTAAATTTAAATGCATGCAGTCATGAATCTTATCAAAAAATTCCAAAGTTAATAGTTTTCTGATAGAATCTTTCTCAGAACATATGTTTTTGTCTTTTTATTTTCTCCTCTCATTCAGGCAAAAAATCAAAGCCACTATTCCTTCTCACCTTGCATATGGGAAAAAAGGTTATCCTCCGACCATTCCAGGTACTGAATACATGCAATCAACGCACACAGAGAAGCACAAGATTTTAGAAAACTGCACCACTAGTACACATGTTGCGTGACGATGCTTAAAGCAACATTACAGTGTTAACCAGACAGTTTTTTACATTTGTGACCCATCTGCACAAAATCAGTCGCATTGCACCCTGGGATATTCTGCATAAACAAAAGCGGCATGTTGCTACCACATGACGCAAATCACGGGGCAGGATTGGCTGGCAATGACACATGCCTGCGCACAAGTGATTTCCGCAGCTTTTTTCTGGTGTTACTGCTCATGCATTCTGACGGTATTTGACAGCAATATACATTACCTACATGTAAACAACAACTAACTGGGCCGATCTAAGTAATAAACCCAATGTCAATATTACTTTACCGCCAGCTACGTCACTACCCATCAGGAAAACCGTACCTTTTATGAGCGGCTCAGGGCAAACAGCCACAGGGGAAACACTGCTTATTATTGTGGATTTAATGTGAACATTGTGCACAGGCTGTGGGATGTAAACCATTTCAATACTTTGCAAGGCAATGCTATACTCGCAATAGGACTTGGCAGAAAACAGCAATGCACTTGCCAGAAGAACAGATTGAGAGCCACTGGTGTCTCTCAAAATGCACACTGGACACTGATCACCAGACTCACCTGACAGAGATGCATACCCATCAAAAATAAATGGATCGAAACATGGATCTGGACAAACAGAGGAAACAATGTTAGGATTAAGACATGTTTCAGATTTAATTAGCCCATGACCTTCAGGAGGCGACCCGTTACCATTTTGCTCTTTTCTTTTTAGCATGGGACCGTTTGCAATGAGATGTCCAGATTGGTGACAATAGTAACAGTTTCATTCATTGCTTTGGCTAAACACCTTAGACTGTACATTTAGTGGTGCTGGAGCACAAGGCTTTTCAGAGGGAGTCTGAAACACTGATTTGTGTGTAAGCACGTACTCGTCAGCCAGTACAGAGGCAGCAGAGAGAAACTTTTTGTTCATTTAAATATACTATTATGCGTTCCAGCAAACATTTCTTGAACTCTTCAAGAAGAACCAGTTCACAGAGTGCATTGTAGTCACTTGCTTTGCAAGCATTGCTCTACTTATCAAAGAGGGTTCCCTTTTCCCTCGCGAACTCAACATAAATTCATGCTGAGTCTTTCTTGTGATTCCTACATTTTTGTCTGTAAGCTTCAGGGACTAGTTCATAAGCACGTGGAATTGTCAATTTAACACTTTCATTATTTAAGCTCTCCTCTAAGGGAAGAGCAGCAACAGCTTCTTGGGCTTTCCCCTGAATTTTGCACTAAAGCAGAAGTGGCCACACATCATAAGGCCACTGAAGTGCAGAAGCCATACGCTCAAACGCAGCAAAATAGCTGTCAACTTCATTGTCTCTGAATGGAGGAACAAGAGAAATGTTTTTAGCAGTATCAAACAAGTCACAAGTAGAGCTGGTGGAAGGAGGAGATATCTGCATCAGCAGATGCGCTCAGTGCTGGAGTTTTTCTCTGCTGAGCTTCCAGCTCCAGTTGGCGGAGGCACACGGCCTTGTCGGCTTCAATCTCCATTTTCCTAATCTCTGGTCTTTGCCTTTCTTGCCTGCTCTCGGCTTTCTCTTGGGCCTCGATCTGGAATCATGCCAGCCTAACTTTTAGTCTGGCCTCACCCAGCGAATCTGTGTTCACTGAGGAAAGGGGATCATAGCGAGGCAGAGTGAATGGAGTTTTGGGCTGCTCACTGACTTCAATCAATCCCAATTCTACCAACTTACCTATGACTAAAGGTTTTAAGTGCTTCTTTAGCATTTGTTTACCAAAAGAGCCATTAAAATGGACAGCTATCTCAATCAAATGATCTTTTCTACATTTGTTAATTTGATCGAGCGAAGGATTTGCCAGAAAACTTTCCAAGTCAAAGGACCCCATTTTACCAATTACCAATTTTTTTACCAATTACCACACGCTAACACAATCTTACCTTTAATTAATAATAACTTTTATGTTCTCCTTTAACAGATTTTATCCTGGACGAGCCCCTATTTATGTTATGACCAGCTCGACAGGGAAAAGGGAAGTAACATAAAACCCTGATGTTGTGAGGTGTTTTAAAGTGATTTAACAGAAGTTAAGATTGAACAATAAACATAAGTGAGGCAACTAAAGACTAAATGAGTGCTGTGAGAACGAGAACAAAGGAGACTCTAACCTAGAGTAAATTGCTATTATAAAAGAAAAATAAAAATGATCTAACTAATCCAATCTAATACAAAAATACAATCAGAACAGCACTCAACCGCTAGTGAAGCTAACAGCCAATCTAAGGTGGATACAGTATTCTCAAACAGAATCTAGTGCCTCAACAAGTTCACAAAAGTACAACAACCATAAGACAAAAAAAAAAAGGCACATGAGCAGGGCTGGCAGCAGCTCACTGTCGAATGCTGGTCTGCTGGCGTTTTATATCCTCCTCGTGGCTCCTGATTGGTAGATCAGCCTTCTTCAGCGCAGGTGGATGGAATCACATCAGCTCAATCAGATCCTGCTGCAGGGTAACCTGAGAGCAGAGTGCAGACACACACACACACACACGCACACACACCACAGACAACACACACTCACACCTACTAAGAGCGGAGAGAGATGGAGTTCCTCAGAATACGGCGGCAGCCGTAACATTTGACTGTGTCTCAGTGATAAAGCCCAAGGTACAATGTGACTGATTGCGTGCAGTTGGGTCACATATGATGTATTAACTATTGTGAATACGACCAATGTATTTGGTGAATCCACTAAAGTCTTTGCTAGTGCTACAACTTTAGTAGACATCATTACAGTATCATCACAAACAACATCTTTTCTGTATTTTCGTTTTTTTAGGTGTTATGTTGTGCAATATTTTGTGTATTTTTTTACAGTGTACATCAATGTATATTTACATGTGCACAATAACATATATAGAAGGGTAAAAAATGAAATGAAAACCCCTCATGCATGACAGGCCAAACAGCAAATGCAGACTAAGTGTTTTGTATTGAAATTGTGCCATGTGGGAACCAGATTTCAGTTCAACTGAACACCTATGGGAGCTTTACCAGTGAATGTGTTTTAAAAAGTTGCTGTGCTCTCCACTAGCATCATTAAAATGCCAAATCTTAGATCTTGGATCCTTAAACATTAGAATTTAGATATGTATACGTGCCGCTCTGTTTATATTTAACTGTATCTTACGACACCATGAATGTGATCTGTCCTAGGTGATGCTGCGCTTGAGTTCGAGGTGGAAGTGATTTCTCTAATGCAACAGACACAGTGGCAGAAAATGGTCAATGATGTGTTCCCCCTCGTGTGCTTGGCTCTGGTGCCCACTCTGCTTGGCTTGGTGGGACTTTACCTCTACCAAAAGGCCAATGCCCAGAAGCCTAACAAAAAGAAGGCGAAGGACAAGAAGAGCAAGAAGAAATAAGGACAAGCCACAGAACTATTTAAATAAATTTTTTTAATTGAAAGTGTTCTTCATGTTTATTTAATAACAGCACCTTCATCCGTGGGTGTAATATGACGTGGAAATAAGATTTCTTAAGAATACATTGGTTATCTTTTAAGTTCAGTGTTTAGAGTATGTGCCGCACTATTAGCAGTGTCTGTGGGCTATGAGCCAGTGATTGTGGGTTAAGAGTTCTTTAGCAGGTGTTGGCCAAGTGCAGTCTTGGGACTAACAGAGAAATCCATGACCTTGAAGAACTTGCAAAAGACAGGTCTTGTAGCTGATTGATAATATTCAGAAGGAACCTTGCTACCTCATTTACACCTCTTATTAACATGTAATCTATATGTGCCCAAGTGATTGATATAAAGGTCAGGGAAAAGAGGTGTTAACAGTGGTTATAAATACATGCAGAAACCACTGGTCAGATCAGCCAGGCTACATTTGGTGATGATCAGGCTCACATTATGATCAGCCAGATATTAATGCAGTTTGCATATTCTGAAGAAAAAAACGTCAGCCCCTAAAGTCGTTTCTTCCTGTAAACTCAATTTGATGAATGTAGAAAGATAAGATGATACATATTATATACTGTACTTCCTGAGGAGGCACCGGTCGTTCAACATCTGCAGGAAACTCCTGCAGATGTTCTACCAGTCGGTGGTCGCCAGCGTCCCTTTTTACGCTGTGGTGTGCTGGGGCAGCAGCACATCAAAAAGGGATGCATCGAGGCTGGACAAGTTAATCAGGCGGGCCAGCTCTGCAGTGGGCATGAAACTGGACTCCCTGGTGACAGTGGCAGAGAGGAGGACACTGAACAAACTGCTGCCATCATGGACGATGCCAGCCACCCTCTGCACACTGTCATCATCACCCAGAGGAGCCAGTTCAGCGACAGGCTGCTCCTCCCCAGGTGCAAAACCAACAGGAACAAAAACTCCTTTGTCCCCCCGAGCCATCAAACTGTTCAGCTCTGAGCTCGGGGGGGAGGGGGAGGAGCAGAGGTAGGGAGCGAGGGGTGAGGAGTGAGGACATTGGGGTGAGATAGAGCATCATGCTCTATCACCGGACTGTGTGGAATATTTAGGCACTTTTGTTACTGTATCCATTATTATTAT